AGCGCAGCAAGTCACAAGATGAGCTGTCATGGAAACCCCTGTGTGACACTCACTGTACGCTGACTGACAGGCCATGCGTTACATAACATCTGTGAAGTGCTGACTGACTCCTTTTATGTTTTGGCTTCGTCTAATGTCAGGATTAATTTATCAGGCAGCCAGTTAAGTGTTTGAATTGTTGAGGAAGAACTAATATTATTACATTTTTGTCCTTTTTGGTAGTCTTTCATTATTAATTATGTTCTTTGTTTTTAGATTTAAGTGGAACAAAAGGCACGTCTGTATCGCACAGTGCAGTACATCAGATACAACATCATCTGATGGTAACAGAACAAAAACAGGTCTGACATTTAAAAAGTAGTGGAATATAAATGTTAAAGCAGTTCAGGCTTATTGCCACACTTAATCATCAAGGAAATAGACTGTCAACATTTAAAAATGCACATACTAACAGTCACGCCTTCTGCTACTCTGAGGACAATCTGTTTCGTTATGATGCTTGTTGGTGTGTTGAATGTGCAAAGCAGGAGCACTCTGCCCCCAGTGGTTAAGGAGGGTACAACGCTTTCCCCCTCAGGCCCTGGGCTCGAGGCCAACCACGGAAAGGCAGTGCTAATGACTGTCGCACAAAGGCCAAATGTCTCACAGCGACGCAGGGAGAAGCTGGCGAGACTCAGCTCACTTAATCTCGCAACCGAGTTCAGCATGTGGAATAAATCCAAGTGGCCAGTCATAGGTGGCCTACACATGATCAGCGGTGCTTATGGAGACTTACTCTAACTTTAGCATCACTTAAAGAATCACTGACCCCTCTTACATCCAGGGTTGTTTACATTGGGTGTCTCTCAGTTTCTCAGGTATGTTTTCCTCTATAGCCTGAAGACTTGCATGCTGACGCCTCAGTTGCGGCGGTTACTTTGACTTTTTCCACCCACCACACTGTAACCGGTTTGCTCGTCTTCACTGTACAGCTCTCACTCCTTGTAATAGTGTGCTGAAGTGTTCCATGATTGTCTTACACCTAGCGATGCATTGAGAAATTGGCCAGGGGTCATTGATGCTCTTACTTAAATTAATTTAGACTAGGAGTAGGTACTTTATGGGCGGCAGGCTGTACAGAGGGGCCTCATTGCAAAACGATGGGTTTTCTAGAGGTGAGGTCTCTCTCTCCCTCTCTCTCTCTCTCTCTTTCTCTCTCTCTCTCTCGCTCTCTCTCTCTCTCTCTCTCCACTGTAAGCTATTGGCTACTCGCCCAGGTCTGCGACACTGAGGAACTGAGGAGCTGAAGTGGGCACTTTTAGAGCAGCTCCACTGAGCACAGGGCCAAGGACAAAAGGCGCGCGTCTGTGTGTGTTTGTACACACTCCTGTGAGTGGAGTATGTACACAGAAAGCATCCTTTTATGTCGGGTTCAGGGATCACGGGCTGTAGTGTTTTTGTTGTCTGCTACAGGCATGTTCTGTACATACAAGGATTTGTGTACGTGTGTGCGTGTGTACTCACTATACACTCACAGTGCATCCTTTTAGTTGAGGGCCAGAATGATTGTTGTAGTTGTTCTTACAACAGATAATAATGAGATAATTAAGCTAGATATGAAACATTCCGTGAGAGGCTGATCACTTCAATGAAAAGCTCCTGCCTTGGCCGTCGCAGACAGAAACATAATGAATTTGCATTCCCCGCGCTCCGTCGAGAACCAAATCAATTGCTTTGACAAAGTCTCCATGTGGCTGACACCGTGACTTTGCTCTCTCTCGCTGGAGATGAAAGAGGCCTGACAGTTATGAAAATGGCCACGGGGAAGAACCTGTCATCAAACATGAGGTGTTGACACTTGCTGTTGTTGTTGCCGCCGCCGTTGTCGTCATTGCTGTTTGCGGCCCTCGGATAGGCAGGCCTTTGGAGAGCTAAGCACGGTGTGAACATGTGCCATCAATGCTAGCATGGGGCTGCCACTTAATTCGACCACATTTAGCTAAGCTAGGGTGGGGGATGTGTTGTAGTCTGAGGACACAGCACAGGTTGTTTGGGAATTAATATTTTCAGAGCATGTGAAATAATTGTAGGGAAATGATTTTGATCCTTTTTTGAATTCTTACTGAGTGATACTGTTGATGCTTGAGGTCAAGAACACCTAGTACTGCGTAGCTCTCAGGGGGACATGGCAGACACCACTGTGTGATGAAGGACGAAGCAAAACAAAGCTCAACACTGATTTCCCAGTGTTTATATGTCTTCACAAAAACAGTGTTTTCCTAGTTTTGCTTATTGTTATCATTGGAAGGCAGAGTTTCCTCCTCACCCAGTGGGCCCTGCTTTACGTCGGAGTGCTGACTTCAGCCTGGGACAATGAATTCAGCGCTAATGGCTCCTGACATAAAGCACCGGGACTTCTGCTTACATACTTGTGCTGCCCTGGGGCTGAGGACACACACAAACTAAGGCACAAATGCAGTTTGACAATATAACAAGATGCTATCTACAAATAGAGATACAGTAGCTCCATGCCTGTATACACACAAGTGCACACACCCAGCGGCAAGGACCCACACACGCGAAGACACCCAAAGACACGCATTAGCGTCCGTCCCTACTGTCATTCTCTACCTTACCTTCGGGAGGAGAGTTGACGAGAGGAGAAGACAGTGTACTGGGAGCTGGAGGTTTTTTTGTTTTTTTTTTGTGAGAGAGGTTCCCCTGGGTTCGGAGGATTCGCAGTTTGAAAGGGTTTAATGGAGTTGAAGTAAGGGCAGTTAGCCGGCCAGGACACATGGTGCTGCAGTGGAGAAGAGCAGGACCTCAACCGGTCATCCAGCAGTCATAATTACAAGACTTCTCTATACTTGTTCAGTGGAATTGATATGTCACATGAATTGCGTTTCATGCACAAAATATTCTGTTTTTTGCCCCTTTTACAAAAAAGGTTTAGATGCAGCCACGTGTACTCCGATTAATTTACCCTAACATGTCGTTTATCACCTCAAAATATGGAGAAGTGGAATGGCTTGAAACGCTTGTGCCATGTAAACACAGCGGCAGTCTTTTATTTCTTCAGTGACCTTCTTGAAAAAATTGGCATTCCGATAATTTCCCATATCCAAGAACTTGTTGATATCGAAGTCTGTCATGTTATGTATATTGAATCCATGATAACGGACATAGCTGACCATAAACAGGGAGGATGTTGGTGTCGCAAACTGCAGTAGAACCCCAGTTGAGACACATATTCCAAATGTGTTGTATCCATGTCCAAATAATGCTCATAAAACCTAAATAATATACGCATATCCCCTATGTTTTAATCAGACAATGCAACATTCGGAAAATGGCCTACATCCGTAAATCTAAATGTAATATTCTGTGGACTATTAGCGTGCATGTAAATGTCGTCATCGACTTTGAGGTTGTTTTATTCCCATGCCCTGATGTGAAAACAACGGAGGATTATCAGAATATGTTTTTCATAGAAAAATAGGCTGTTTCCATGGGGAGTATAGACATTTTACAAACAGACACAAACCACTCTTCCCTATAAAAGCCTTTGTGAGAGCAGCTTTTAGATTCCTCCAACCAAAACACAATAACAAGGGATAAATGTAGCCAGATCCACGAGCCCAGCGGTCATTTTGCGGGCAGCGTCTTCGCCACAGGGATCAATGCGAGGAACATCGGAGGATTCTAGCTCTTAGCACCTTACCCTCCACTACCCTACAGTTCCCACATTACCATCTCTATGTTGCTGTTCACACATGAGCAGCTTGAGTGGCAGTGACATTTATGGGCTTGTCCAGAAAGCAGCCACGTCCATCCCTCAGGGCCGGCCCTTGCCAACCCCCCCCCCCCCCCTGCTCTCTGGAGGTATCCAACTGTGCTGCTTCCTCTCCCAAAGGCCTTAATATACCCACTATCTATAAGTCAGATTGACTGAGCTGCAGGCCCACAGAGCGAACTGTACATACAAGTCAATCCTGGAAACAGACTGCTTTATTAGGTTATTATATGTACGAGGTGGAAATCAACGGAGTAGCACGACTAGATAGATGAATTGCTCCCCCATGCTTCTGAATCAAAACTGTCTAAAATTGATTTGTTCTCCTCTCCGCACATTTCCCTCTGCACTGTTTACACCACTGGAGTCCTGTTAAAGATGTTGATGGTAGTTGTTTTTAAATTGCTTTGAATCCAGGAGTGATTTGTCACTAAAATATGCCAAAGTCCTAAGTGCTGCCAGAATTAATAGACTCATGCATTCAAAATTCATTAGGAAATTCATCTGGGCATGGGATTGACCTGACCTTAAGTTGCCCTCATCTATCCTGCATTAGCATTCACTGAGTAAAAGCGGAGAGAGTGCTAATATGAAGTGGAAGAGATCCCACATGTTTTTTTCTATCCTAATAAGTGTCAGTCAGGAGGACTGAAGAAACGCTATCCTTGGTATTCTAAGGCAATAGCCTCCTGTCCTCTCCTTTCCTCTCTCCTCTCCTCTCGCTCCTCCTCTCTATGCGCTGTCTTCCTGGCTCTAATCATGTGGCCATTGTGTATGGATTTACTGCCCTCAGCCCCCAGGAGGGAGATTTGATTTTTCCCCTGCACTGGCTAATCTTTCCCTCTCACACTCTATTTTTCTTTTCTAATTCTGCCTGTCTCTCCTCCTCTTGCACTCTGAGATATTTTTGCTGTCCTCTCTTCCTTTAGTTAATCACCCTTAGTTGACTGGAGGCCTGTATTCGTTCTCTGGCTTTCTCATAATTTCTTATCCCTCACTCTTTCTGATACCGTCCTCCGTCTTTTCCTTTCCTCCTACTTTTCTCCACCAACACTTTGTTTAAACACAGCTCAGAATATTAGTGACTGCAGTGGCTGAAATGATTGCACACTGGCACACTTAATATGCATGTATTATTGCTAAGCAATTACAGTTATATGGCAGAATGTAATACTGACTCATCTGGTTGTTGAATTTGTTTTTGAGTCATTGTTTTCCTTTTTTCCAGCCACTCTCACTCTCCTGGCTCCATGGCAGCAGCGGTGCGAGGCAGTGAGTGGTCATGTGGACGCTGCACCTTCCTAAATGCCGGCGCAGCACCTCGCTGCTCCATCTGTGAGGCACCACGCCAGAAACCCGACCTTAACCAGATCCTGCGGCTGAGCAGCACCGAGGAGCACCGCTGGGCCTGTCCCCGCTGTACGCTCAATAACCCACAGGGATCTGGAGCCTGCTCTGTCTGTGGCTTTGGACCGTCACCTGCCACTCACACGCCCCCTACAACCACCATAGCTGCCACTGCCAATGGCCTCCCACCTGCTCCGACCGAACCTCCAGCACCTATTGTCATCCCCACAGTTCTGCTTGAGCCCCATGGACAGCATCCCGCTAAGGAGGAAGTGCTGCGGCGGTCTGAGAGCAACGGAGAGGTGTGCGGCCTGGAAGGGCACCACTCTGGCTGGGCTTGCCCTCGCTGCACACTTCACAACACACCCGTGGCACTGTCATGCTCGGCCTGTGGTGGGCCAAGGAAACTGTCTTTGCCTAAAATCCCGCCTGAGGCACTGGTGGTGCCTGAGGTGCGCACACCTGTGCTGGGGTTTCCTGTTAACCCAGCAGGGGCTGCCCCGCTTCTTATAGACCTAACAGATGACTCTCCTCCAGCTCCTCCCTGTGATCCTCAAGAACCTCCCCATGTGTCCTCACAGTCTCTTTCCTCACCTTTTACTTCTTTTTCCTCCCTCCAAAACAACCCAGTGCCCCGCAGCAGGAGAGAGGTGCCCCCTCCAGGGCGCCCACCAAACCCAGGCACCAACACTCCCAGCCCCACGTCCCCTTCAGCAGCCAGTGTGCCACCCCAGCCAGGCCCACAGCGGCCAGCCAAGCCCAAACATGCCCAGCCCCAGGAACCTTCATACCCCAGCAAGCGCCTCAGTATATTAGAGGAAGAAGATCCTCACCCACTGAACCCCCACCTCCCTGTTGCTCCCTCCGCCGCCCCCACCTGGAAGTGCCCTAGCTGCTCGTTGCCCAACCCGGGCAGCTCGTCTAAGTGCGAGGCCTGCCGCTCGTCACGGGCTGGTGCTGACCTCATCGACCTAGTAGGCTGTGAGACGGTACGATTTACTCCAGCCAGCCCCTCCAGCCCGGACTTTAGCACCTGGGCCTGCTCCAAGTGCACGCTGCGCAACCCTACTGGTGCCCCCAAGTGCTCTGCCTGCGGTTCTTCTAAGCTGCACGGCTTTCAGGAGCAGCAGGTGCCCCTGCCACGCTGCTGTACACACTGTGGCTCTGCATCATGCTCCTGTACACCTTCCTCATCCTCCTCGGGTCATAAAGCACGGAAACAAGCCCGGGGCTACCCTCCCTCCTCTTCTGCTATTGCCTCTTCTGGCTCCTCTTCGTCCTCCACCTCTGCACTCCTTCAGGAGAAGGTAGCACAGTGGAGCTGCCCAGCATGTACGCTGCTCAATGACATCAAGGCCAAAAACTGTGCAGCATGCCACACACCGCAGCAGTACCTCACCCTTCGAAAGGTGGTTAAGCCTCTGAAGAGGAGGGAGAGCATGCATGTAGAGGCCCGTCGACGAAATGACGAGGGCGAGGCCAAGGAGCTTTGGGAGAATATAGTCAGCTTCTGCAGAGAGGTAAGAAAAATATATTTGTCGTAGCTTTGAAACACATTAAAACACCACAAGTGTTCATCTGCAGGTAACTGATGTGGGTTATTGTCTATTAACAATAACAGTCATGAGTCACCATTACCTTCTTTATATCTTTACATTTTGTAGAGTTTTTCTCTGAGAAATCTGCTTAGTTGGATGTGCAATGCGTCACAGGGTGCACATTGCTTTTCAGTGCACAGTCCCCTCATTGTAATTCCTCTTTTTGTTATGTCTCTGGCATTGTTCCCACTCCCTCAATCTCTCTAATTTCACAGAAATGCTAATAGGCTTTGTCATTGCCTCTGTTTGCACTTGCTTCGTTAGCTGAGTTTTAAAGGGCCAGTGGGCGAATCTTGGCCACTTAAATGAGCTGCAGATACAGAGTGTCTCATACTGAATATCCAGTCTATAACCTGCCCTCAGTCACAGAGAAGTCAGTTCTGATTCACCATTTCAAAAGTCTCTCTTAAGACTGTAACTCCTCAGCAGGAGGCTCTAATGAGTCTGGTTTCATTGTTTGTTCTGATTAGACTTTGCAGTGATGGTTTTTTTTTTTTTTTATGACGACAGCCTAGCTTGAGTCAGACCGCAGCACATCTTACTACCCAGACACACCAAACCAACATCAAAGAGCTAGTGGCGAAGACGGCTGACTGTTGCTTCCCCTCACGTCGCTAGTGTGTCAGCCAGAAAGTTGCAACTGAATAGACCTCAAAGGCTCCAGCCAACAGCTAACTAGCACGTACGTTCTGCGACGCATGAGAGGACATAACTCTCCATACCAACAGACTGGAAGACTGACAGGATGAATTCAAGACGCTAGATACCACAAATGCTTACAAACCATGTCTGCTGAGGGGCTCAGTGGCTGAAAGACATAATCTTACCTAATATGCCGAGTTTGTTTTGATCTCACGCCCTCTTGAATTTAGTCGCTTGTTTGCTTTCCTCATTTCTGTTTCTCCTCTCGTGAACTGAGCTGTACTGCCAGTCAGAGGGATTTCGCTCACTGTCAACCTTCGCCATCTCTGATTACGATTCACCACCGGGATTACAGCAACAGATGCTCACTGACGGCCCGACATTGACCAACAGCTTGGTGTGTCAGGGTTCGTACTATATCATAGCAGACCTGTATGTAAGAGATTAAAACTTTTTTAATCATTCTGAATATAATTTAACTTTAAATGAGGATGTCACCGCATCAATTTTGCCAAGTAATTAAAGGATCATAGCTGTGGTTCTCGTTAACATGCGCTGTCTTTATTTTTATCAATATACACCATGAAACAGAACATTTTCATTAAGCTGCATAAATGTCAGATGGCAAAAAGTTAATCATCAAGTGTTTTTTTTCCTCCTAGAGGAAAAAACTTAATTATGTTTTTATAATTACGGGCTTGTCTGTTGTCATAAGCGCCTAAAATAATGATGCATTTTACCCGCTCCAGCACCTCGACATTTTGATGTTCAAAAGGTCGAGAAGACTTTGAGATCAACTGTGTCATTCATGAGCCCTGATTGGTGCGATTCACAGCGTCGCAGCTGTTTGGAGACACTGAGATGTCTTCCCTAGCAACTATGGTGAAGATGTGACAACCTTTCATGCCGCTTCTTTGCATCAAACCGCTTCGTGCTCACTTTCTCTGCAATACTGAACCTTTGATAGGCCTGTATTATGTTGTCATGGATATGCTATTCAGGGCTGTCGGAGAGGTTCATTTTAGACCTTTCAAGATGAATGCTAATGAGACAAACCTGATTGGACATGACGAAGAAACGTAGACATCGCGGAATATAAAGCTGCTCAGATTCAGGTCATTTTTCGGGGTTTCTATTCTCTGAATTTATTTGGTTGTCTCATGCGTGCCCACTTACTACACAGGCACGGCACCTATCATGCCATGTTTACAATAGCATGAAGTGTGCTTCAGAATGCATTATTAATGGCTCCTTTGAAAGTCGCAGGGCTCACTGCTGCGAGCGTGGGAGGGAAGTTGGCTCGGTAGGAAGGAAAGGATATCAGAGATTCCTCATCCCCACCTTCCCCTCCTCTCTCCCCAATTTAAGATCGACATTTAAGCTCTTCTTTCTTTTAATCATCCTTTCTTTTCTCCTACAAATATTTTAGGCCTAGCTCGCTCTCGCTCTGCCCCTCTGCACTCTTCAAAGTACTTTCCCCTCTTCATCTCTTTTTTATCCCGTCTCCCTCCATCACATCTATCCCCACACACTCATCCTGTTTTTTTTTTCCTCCTCTCTGCTAATATCTCAAAATATGCTTTCCCCTCGCCACCCACCACACCCCCTCCACCCCCATCCCACCCTCTCCACACGACTGCACTCAATTCTCCCGTGTAGCAGTCGATGCGAGGCTGTGTGTGTATGTGTGTGTGTGTACGTGCTAAGGTGAACACAGGGGCTGGCCTATTTTTAGCAGCAGAGCCGGAGAGGAGAAGAGCAGAAATGATCCACTTCCCTATAGTGAACGTAATCACCAACAGCATCAACTGCTGCAGCTCAGTTTTAGGGGTCAGAGGGATGGACGGGGGTAGAATCGGTAATCGAGAGGAGCTAGTCTTTCTAATCCATCACTGTCGAGGCATTAACACTTGGCAAGCACCAAAACACCAGTCGTGAAAATTTAATTATGATTAAAGCTTTTGGTGTACCCCGATACAAGGTGTGTGGGCAGTCGGAGCACAAGTATTCAGTGAAAGTTTTAGATTGCTTTTTTATTATATGTTAAGTTCAGATTTTCTTTCAGGACTTGTTGGATTATAGCAAGTGGTGTTGCTGATGAAATATACTGAATATGTTAGTGGAGAGTTCGTCCAGATTGCAGCAATCAATAAAGACCAAAACAAGAGCTGGAGTCAGTGTGTACGAAATATTATTCTCTCCTCACCTCAGTGCCGTTTGTTTCTTTTGCCTCCTTGCCTTTCTACTCTCCTTGATTGGTTTTGAGAGCGAGAGGTGTGTGCACTTGATGCCAGTGCCCCGGAGCGTGTCCGCTTACTCACTGTGCCAGACAAGTAAACGCTACTAATGGCCATCAGCGCCGCTTGTGAACTGTAAAACCCAGCATGGCTGGAGCTGGTTCCTCTGTTCCCTCTCCATGTCAGCCTCTGGGGGAGCAACAGAAAGATGCTTCATGGCAACAGAGTGACTTTGATTTGTTTTATTTTCCCTCTTTGGACCACTCTTTATACTACTTGTTACTTGAATCTTTGCCACATTAGCCACACAAGGATTTTATCTGGGGGGTTTTGGATGTTGGATTGTTAAGTTCTGACTGCCTGCAGTCAGTGACAGGTTTTCACTGCCTGTGACAGCATTGTACGTACCAGGCTGTTCTGGGACGCTTTTGTTTTGGGGTTTAATATGCGTGGCACTTTGAAATCCAGCTCTATAGTTCCTTGTCACCACATTTTCATAGATCAGTAGGTTGTCTGTAGCACATAGATATCCAGCTACAAGCTTACTATCCTCAAAAAAAACTTTCTTATGCCTGCCAGGTCTGTGTAGTCTGGGAGATGGCGGGAAGGCAGCAGCTTTGCTTAGCTCAGCACTGAATTGGCTGATTGCAGTCTAGTTTGCATGCTGGCGTGTGCCCAGTGATAGAATCAGAGACAGCAGCACTGGGTTCACTCGATGAGGACAGTCAGCTAGACTTACGCCCGGCGGACGTCACGAGTCACGACACAGCAACTTGAACAACAGGATTATGCTTTAGTGTATGTGCGTGTTAGTCATACTCCTTACACAATCCAAACCTACGAGAGTTTCCACTTTGGTACTGATGTTATATCTTATTTCCCGTGTTGGCAGGTACCAAGTTACAGGTAACAAGTTACATGTAATTACATTACAAAATAAATGTAATTGTAATTAGTTACAGCTACTGAGAAAAATATGTAAATGAATTACAGTTGCTAATCAAAATGTTGCTGATTACAAAGGAGTAACATTGGAATACATATTTGTTAAAAGAGAGTATAAGATTAATTCTGTTGCTTCTCCTGTTGCCCAGTTTAAAACATTTGTTAGAAAAGTAATCAAAAGTAATCAATTGAATTACTTTGATGAATAATTAAAATAATTACATTACTTATTGCATTGTAAACAGGGTAACTAGTAATATGTTACCTATTAAATTTCAAAAGTAACCATCCCACACTGCTTATTTCATATAGGCAATAAGGTTTAACTCTCCATGTTGATATATTTTATATCTATGGGGGGTCTGCTTGTTTGTCAGGGACTGTTTCGCCCATTTAGTTTGAATAACTAGATTTTGATCTATAATCACTGTGAACAGATATCTGTATATGTATGCAGAATCTATAGGCAGTGGATAGTGTTTCAGTTTCCTTTTGTAGCGCAGTCCAAGGAGTATAGACCAGTCATGTTTGAGTGGCAGGTAAACAGTTTGTCCAGAGAAGTGGAATGCACTGGCCCATATAAACTCTTTGAACCCATCGGCTATTGTCTGATGATGAAATAGCTTTATATTAGCTTTTTTAAATTCAATTAATCTGCATTCATTTGCAGACATCTGTTTATAGTCTTGGCCTGGCGATCCACTGGCTATACCAGATCAGCCCGAAATATTGGCCCTCTCCCTCAGAGGCTTTATCATCATCAGACAATAGTTGATGGGCTCAGAGGCTGGATTATCTATATGTAACAGTTGGACTCTAGTGTTGTCTGCGTTGTGTTGATATGAAGAGGCCCAGACCGTGGATATCTTTGGAGGCGATCCCTGTTTATTTCTGACAACTGACAGCAAGAGGTAAAAACAAAATCCTCCGTCAATTACAAGCCGAGCCCCTACACAAATGAAGTGACACAGGAATATGTTAGCATATTATACAATAAGTTAAGGCTGAAAAATAAACGTATTTTAAGAGTGCTAAAACCGGTATTACTATGTGAGCAATGTCACTTACCTCTCCCATGGAATACAACAGCAAAAGGGGAAAGGCAAGGTATTAGACACCTCTTTATAGGTGGGGTACCCACAAAGGTGAAAGTAGGCGTATAGAAACTGAGTATCAGACGTTCCACATATTGAATATGGAGGTCTAAACATGTCAGGTAATAACAACTGAAACAAATTTTGTCTAATTATAATACTTAATAATACAAATGTACATTTGACTTGGTTACACATATTACTGCTGTATAATGGACCCTGTTACATATAATAAGACCTGAATAGGATTGAGTGCCTCTGAGTTTTATATAAATGTTTAGTCTCTAAAGCTCTTGGGGGGAAAAAAACCCGTAGTGCACATAAAACACCCTGTGTGCTGCAAATGTGAACAGGCTAATTGCAGCATATGCAGCACAGTCGTTTCCTTAGAGGCAGACTGCAGCAGACCACTCTGCTGATTATCATGTCTTTCAACTGACTCGGAATAATCCGCTCAGATATGTTCATGAAATGAGAGGTGAGTGCAGAAGGTTGTTAAGTACCTTCTTGGAACGCTAACGTGTTATTGTAGCCACCAGTATCTCTCTAACAGGCTTTGAATTGATCTTCTTAGCTTCAAAAATGATGATGCTTGTGTAATATTTTAGACTAGATTGCTGTATATCTGTGCTTGTTTAGAGCTGTTTAGTCTGTTTGTGTACTGCACTGAATGTGCTCCGAGTTACATTAGTTAGAAGTCTCTGAATGTGTCCAGGCCCTCTCCACCTCTGCGGTAAATCCACATCGGCCCCTGAGCCCATGCAATAAAAGCCAGCACAAGGGTCACACATAAGCCAGTGAGCTACAGAATCGGTAAGCTACATGGAGACCTCAGATGGCCAAGGTGGTGAGGCGGTGGTGTTGAAGCGATTCTGTGGTAGCTAATGCTGCTTCAAGACTGCAGAATTGGTTTTTGGGGATGGCGACTAATCAATTCGCTTCACTGTGAGCCACCATTGGGGTGCCTACATTACATCCCCTTGCTTGCCTCGCAACACAACCGAGCCCACTCCTGACACCACATATAAGAAACCGGATAGGGTCGCGTGTGTGACTGTTGGCCCTCTCGGGTTTGTGTACAGAAGAGTTTTAGATGGGCAGATAGTGTGTCAGATTGGGTGTCTTGATCCGTTAATGTATCCATGTAGTGTGGCTCCTGTGTACAGTAGAGAGGCAGCTACATTTTCAGAGTGCTAAAATCCAGTGTGTCAATTTAAATGCTCGGTGCTCTGCAGGGAATATGTCAGAAAGTGAAGTGTTTGAAATGTTGAAATTTGCATATGTGTCCTGTATCCAGGCCGCTACATGGTGCCACATTTGGTCTCCTGCTGTGCAGATGTGTGATGCCACACTAACAGTGGAAGTAATTCCTCCTGCCACGTGACTGAATGGAGAAGGCAGCAGTTGTCCTTGTTTCACCCACAATCCAGGGCTCATTTGGCGGCCTGTAGTGTCCTGTATTAATCATCATCCACCTGCAAAATATATCACATCAGAAATGCGGGGAAGAGATTAACAGTTAGTCCTCAAAGTGCCAAGTGTCCTTCAGGCTTGCATTATGAGTTTGAATAGCTTGATTTTTGAGTTTGAGTTCTCTAATCAGCTTCTCTTGGGGATGATTTAAAATACTTTTTGGGTTTTGAATAAGACATTTTCTCCCAACAAGTTACTGTTTTTGAATCTATTTTTTGAATAGAATTCAATATTTAAACAGGTCTAGTAATCACATCCCTTTGTCTCCCTATCACTTATCCTCTCCCTCTTCTCCCCGTTCAGAACACCGTGAACTTTGTGGACGACAGCTTCCCACCGGGCCCTCGCTCCGTGGGCTTCCCCGAGGGCGACAGCGTCCAGCAGAGAATCAAAAAGTGGCTCCGCCCCCATGAGATCAACTGCAGTAACTTCAAAGACCGAGGCGTCAAGTGGTCCGTCTTCCGCACACCGCGGCCCTCCGACATCCTGCAAGGCCTGCTTGGAAACTGCTGGTGAGCTGTCAGAACCATATGGGAAACTAATCAGTCTAGATAACTCGGGACAACCTAGAGACAGACCATTCATTTACAAAAAGACCTTGAAAAAGCCTGCCTTGATTAATACCTTAGAGATCCAGTGTGTATGATTTAGGGTGGTATATTGGCAGAAATGGAACATAATATTCATCACTATGTTTTCAGTAGTTTATAATCACTTGAAACTTGGAATAATTGTGTTTTTGTTACCTTAGAATAAGCTCTATATATTTACCAAGATCCTTAAGAAGTCTGAATTGGTCTTGAATTCATTCATTAAAAAAAAAGACCTTAATTGGTATTAAATGTCTTAAATCAGTCTTTCAAAAGTCTTAAAAAGGCTAACACAATAGCTCATTGTGCTCATAGCATAGGATTCACCATCCGCTAGCTAGGTTTCGCTGTCACTGTACCCTGGACGAAATGGGGAAGCGCAAATTCAGCAAAAATTGGTTGTTTAACCAAGATGGTGCGGCATGGCTGAAACTGGTACAAGGAAATGCTCATGTGCGCAGTGTATTTTATGTAAAAAAAATAAATAAAATTGGCATAATAGGAATCAAGGCAGAGTAAGAAACACAGTAGCCCAGAACGGACAAATCAAACACTGGCTTTCAATAGAGCCATTTGCATCAGTCACCATAGTTCTCCTAAACGCTTGGTACACGGGAGAAGTTGTAGTTCTGCATCCTCACCACTAGATGCCACTAAATACACCAGGCTGGACCTTTAACCAAGGACAAACAAGAATAGCTATTAATTCTGCTCAGTGCCTGTGAAAGATCAGAGGAATACAGAACACACAGCAGATAATGTTACATGTCTGTGTGATTCTTGTCTGAGTCTGCTTTGGATGTGCACTGCAGCCTGAAGCTCGCAGACACAGAGATGGAGACAGTGACAGAGAGGCAGTGAAACAGTAACTTAGGAAACCGAAAGCGAGAAACTGAAAAATTGGAAGGCAGGGGAGGAAAAAAAAGAAGGCGAGCATTAAATGAAAGAGGGAGGAGGGCGACAGATGTACAGATACACCTGACAGGAAGATTATTCACGGGAATGTGAGTCTGGACACATGCTTTATCTCCCTGCCCTTGTTCTGTCCGTCCTTTGGGGTGTGTTGTGTATATATATTTATATATGTGTGTGTGTGTGTGTGTGTTTGTGTTACCATCCGCCATCTTCCTCCACACACATGCACACACAACAAAGAACAGTCACAAAGTTGTCCCAATACAACTTTTCGCTTCAACACCAGCACACACAGCTTATCAAAAATAACCCTCCCCAGAGCTGAATCCTCTCACTCGCGACAGGATGTAACCCTAATTCGTCTCTCTAACTCACTGTCTCTCTCTCTCACTCATACACACACACACGGACTTGTCCTAATAAACCAGCAAACAGCCCCGCTCCCCTCAGCCAGCCAATGACAGCAGAAGAAAGTAGTGCCAGTCACCCTTGTCCTTGAGTACGAGCTGACGTTAGAGTCACATTATGACACGGCTAATTGGATTTCTATTTGATTCTTTGCAGCCGATTGGTTTTTCATCAGCGCCTGAATGGGCTGATCAGCCTCGCTGAGCTGCCTCGCCGAACAGATGGGATACAGCTTTAATAGTACACATTTCCAACTCCACACAAAGAGTTTTAGTCTTTGACACACATTGACGGCTGGTCTGAAGGGTTATGGCTCTCATCGTTAGATACAGCGACAGCAGAACTACCAGTGGCAAAAGTAGCTCTGCAGTTTGGTAGATAAAGGAAGTGTTTTACTGCTGGGAAAATGGTCTTTTCATGAAAGAAGGCTGTCTGTGCAGTGGAAAGATGCAGATAGGGCTGGGTATTGCCACTGATTTCCTGAATTGATTTGATTGGATTTCCGATTCAATATGATTCCATTTGATTCAGTATCGATTTGATTGGGGATATTTCAGTCTCAGAGAACTAATACTGTAAATTTTACAAGGAATTATTTTAAAAAGAGAATAAATTCAGAACAGGAATAAAACTGAATATTTTATGACAAAATGACGTTTCTAATATCGCTTTTCTACATGTTTCTTAACAGGTGTATTGATAAAGAACTGTCATTTTCCTCATGGAGGTTTTTTTTACACTTACAGTAACAAGCGTAGCCGGCGTCAGCTCAAGTTATCGTCATTTCTCTGTCTCCACTGTGGCGTCTCTGGTCAGTGTTTGTGTGTGCCTAAAAGTGGCGCTCCTGCTGCAGTATAATTACACCAAAACATAAAAACACTAAGCTAACAGTTACAGAAAAAAGAGCAGGTAACGTTGGTGCTTCTCAATACGACAGTCGTTAATAATTTAGCCCCGGCGCCTATTCCCTACCAACGAGATTTACGAGGTTAAAGCTTCACACATCTGCGGGAAAAAGCATATATTAAAAGATTGGTCATGGATTTTATGAATCAATATTGGGTCATTCAAATGAAAATAGATTTGAATCGGATGAATCGATTATTTTAACGCAGCCGTAGATGCACATACTTTTGTAATTGGTGCTATATGACCAAAGGACTTTTGCTTAAGAGGTAGAAACCCTGCAACTACCAGAGTGCACTGCACTACACTGGACATATATTCGCTCTTGCTGGTGGGTGTCATAATGCGAGCTGTGTTGTTTTGACACAGAAAACAATATGGTGGCCAGCTGGTAACAAACAATCTCTAATTACAGCTAAACAGCACACTAAAATATGAAAACATTTGAGGCAAGAAATAGGCATCGCAGTAACAGAATCTGATCAGCACTGCCTAGTTTTGCCATCCGATCTGAGTTTGGCCTGAGTCTTAGAGAGGGGGGCGGGTTTTTCTTTTGATCCACTTCTTTACTCTTTGTGTTTGTGGTGGTGGGCATAAAAAAATGCGGAAATGCACTCTGTAGGTTGAGCAACAGCCATAGAGCCAGCTGATGCATTTATTTTAGCCAAGATGAGAAGGGAGATCTGGGCACTGGTAAAATGGAGGGAAGTGTACCTTAGGTGTTTTGTGCTGCCCTTAGGTGTTTTGTGCTGTTATTAAGTACCCCTTAATAACGAGCGTCGGATAACTGTGGCATCAGCCGTGAGTCAGCAGCATTTAAAACGAAATGTTTTTAGCTCATTGTCCCACACCTCAACTGTTTGTAGTCATTTCATCATTATTGTATGATCTCTTTCCACACTTTGAGATGAACTAATGTTCGCTTTAAAATATATCCCTTTCAAGTCGGATCCTCGTCCCCAGCCGAGTTCCTCTTCTGTGAGGAATTAGCATTTTCTGATGTATCCGGAGTTTTGATTAACTAATTTCTCTCGCAAGCTAATTAGAGGAACCGAGCCAGTTTGTCTTTGCTGCAGGGTGAATTAACAGTAATGGGGAGGTAACCAGAAGGCACAGAGGCTTGATTCATCAAATGTGATTGATTTTCAATGAGGGCAAGTTATGTTTAAAAAAAAACTGAAAGAGGTACCTTTTTTGGAAAAGGATGTTTTAATTTCACATTTAGTCTCACGGCTGTGTGTCAGTCTGTTTATTTTTGTTCTTTTCTCTCAGTCAGCCGACATTCCTAATCCCTTCCTGTCTTTTCGACTGAAACGGGCATCCATTCAGCCGTCCACCTTTCCGCCGCAATCAGCCCATCATTTACTTCCTTGCATCTCCATTTGTTTTACTGCTTAATTCAGATTGTCTTTTGCGCTTTGTTTCCGCCACATCCTCTCATTCACGCATCTGTCCTTCCTGATCCGATGTTTCATTTTCTGATTCACTGAGTTTTATCTTTCTCCAGGTTCCTGAGTGCGCTGGCGGTGCTGGCAGAGCGGCCGGAGCTGGTGGAGAGGGTGATGATCACCAGGACCATCTGCCCGGAGGGAGCCTATCAGGTTCGGTTGTGTAAAGATGGGACATGGACGACGGTGCTGGTGGACGACATGCTGCCCTGCGACGACTATGGCTACCTCCTCTTCTCTCAGGTCAGGGAAGGAGAGAGGGATGTGGGGAGCCCTGGGGGAAGGGGAAGTTATGGATGAGGAAATAGATAATCATAGATATTCAGTGTGCAAGAGATACTATTCATGTCCAAGGTTAGAGGAGGAGGAGGAGGTTTAGATAGAAATATACATATTCTGCTCATATAATGTTTGTCCTCTTCCAGATCATAGAGGTTATAGAAGAAAGTAGGGCTGGGCAATATGTTGATATGATTAGATATCATCTTAGATTTTGGATATCAAAATATAGCAAGTGTTGTCTTTTTGTGGTTGTAAGGCTGCATTACAGTAGAGTGATGTCATTTTCTGATCTGCTCTATTATTTTCCTTAACCTAATTTGTCTTTTTGTCCACAGTACTGATGATTATTTGTCAAAATCTCTGAAAATGAAATAAATCTGGGGGTGTGGAGTTAAAAAGAACTGAGCTTACCAGACGTGTGTAACCCGCTCACGATCTCTGCTGGAGGCTAGAAGCTGAAGGCTGCATTAGCCACTGCTAGCATAACACCCCTGTGACAGTACATTACATTGGAGGTAATGCAGACGTCAGGTTTTGACAAGGGAAGAGAATGCATGGAATAAAAAAAAAGACGCGATTGCTGACAGGGCTGTGGCGATCTCAAACCTTTTTTTAGGATGCAGGGAGAAGTAGCGAGGGCATTTGATGGACAGTATGTCAGACATATATCCTCTCAGATTTATCAGTAAGCATGGTGTCTCTAAGTCGCTCCGTGTTAATAGAGTTGCAGCCAAACATCAGTGTAATATTAACTTCCTAACATAAGTTCAAGCTAATTCATTATCTAGCTTTCTATCACACGCATGTCTCAAAGGACCCCGCAGAGGAGGATTGTTCCTAATTAAACAACAGTCAATTACAGGACAAATTAAGTATTGCATTATGCAACAAATAAAACACAGGGAAACTAATCCAAGCACACACATGCTGGAGAGTAAAACCTATCAGACCTTATCTACACACTGGCACCGTCGACCTTAGATCTCAGGGAAGACAAGGAAATAAAGGTAACAGAGGAGACACTGGATATGGCAGAGTGAATTCCTTCCTTCATGATGACTAAACATGCAAGAAATGCCCAAACAAAATGTTAAGATAAGGAAGAATATGAGAAATCATAAATAACACATTCCATCTTTTTTATCAGGCCGTGTTCAGAAACCGTTGCACTTTGAGTCACAGCCAACCGGTTCAGAGCCACTCCTTAAAACAAGCCCCACTGCAAACACAGCTTCCTGTTACAAGTGAACTACACTCATGACTGAGACATGACTAAATATTTCCTTCTCTTTCCCATCACTCCAGGCCCAGAGGAAGCAGCTATGGGTGGCGCTGATTGAAAAGGCCCTGGCCAAACTCCATGGCTCCTACTTTGCCCTGCAGGCAGGGCGCGCCATCGAGGGTCTTGCCACGCTGACGGGGGCTCCCTGTGACTCCCTGATGCTCCAGGTCAGCTCCACCAACCCACGGGAGGAGCCCATTGACACGGACCTCATCTGGGCCAAGATGCTCAGCTCTAAGGAGGCTGGGTAAGAGAAGGAGAGGAGGGGGAGTTTTGGTGGAATTAGGGCGTGAAGGAGCATTTTCTTTGCTATTTTTATCATTTGCAACTGTCAAATCAATTGATTTAATGTACAGTACAGGAAGTAGATAAAATAGTAGACATCTCATTGGAGAAACAGTGGATCTACATTCTCTAATCGCAACTACAAACACAAAGGTTTTACAAAGCGACAAAGGTGCTGAATGCCAATTAGCAGCATATGTCAGCAATAAAAGAGGTCTGATAATCAGCACTTTAATATGTGAGCTTTCAAAGCAGCATGAGACAACTCGCACAACTCCAAAGGGGCCCAAATCATCTGTGGCCAAACTGCAAGTCCATCTGTCAGAAAACCTGTGGTATTATTCAATATATCAAAGGGGGAGCGGCCCCGGAAAATCGTGACAACGTCGGTATACTTTACTGAAGGGGGACAAAACTGCATCAACAAAGAAGGAGCAGCAGTCACAAACTGAAGACAGATTAACAGGGATATAACTGATATTTGTTTTTTGTTGTTTGTCTGTAACTGTGTGTATTGCTGCCAAGATAAGGAGATTTTAATTTTGAGGTTCTCCTGGTTAAATAGAGATTAAGTTAGTAAAGACATGATTAACATAATTAGCTATGCAAAGCTGGAATGAAATGAAAGTTGAAAATAGTTTGTTCTGGGCTATGTTATTTATTGACTCTTTCACGGTGTGTCGTCCATACCTGTTAGGTTTCTGATGGGTGCATCTTGTGGAGGAGGCAACATGAAGGTGGACGACATTGTGTATGAGTCTCTGGGCCTGCGGCCGCGGCATGCCTACTCCATCCTGGATGTCCGAGATGTTCAGGGTTACAGGTATGCAGTCACGTGAACTAGAGTGATAACCTGCCTGTCCTTCAGTGAGCTCCCGATGTTTCTCTTTGCACCCCTATCTACCTGTTCCATCTCCCTTTGTGCATGCATTTTGTCTTTGTAACGAAAAGAAAGTACACTTAAAAGATAGGCATAAAATTAAATAAAACAAATTAAATTACCATCTGCACTTTGTCGGCATCCCGCCCTACTGTTTGTTCGCTAAAACAAAACAACAGGGTCACCTTTTTAGTAAAGAGCTGCAAAAGCAGAGGACATGAAAGTCCCATTCATTTTCTCCACAGGCACTGTAAGGGTGACTGACAGAAAGAGCACTTCGCAGCTTGAATAGGAAATGAAATTCTCCTGAATGAGTCATCAGTGCAAAAAAATTAACAATGGCACTGGAAAATATCTGGTTCCTTGATTTTAAAACGTCAGAGGCACAAGGCTGTACATAACACCATAAAGTGAGATGTGGACCTCAGCTCCCACAGTGCATTTTGGCAAGAATTGTCAGATTGCAGAGGTTAAAATTCTGCTTAGTGTGCAGGTGGAAAACTGAAAATACACCTGCAGCTTAAATCATTTTTTGAGTTATGGGATGATTTTTGGATGAATTCAGCTATTATGAGATTGTGTTTTGTTTGCAACTAAACTCTAATTCGTGCCTCTGACTGGCTTCTCTATGGCCAGCCAAGACTCATGGGCATTGTGGTATTTAGAGGGCTTACCGTGCCAAAATGACAGGTATATAAACCTGAGTTCCCAGAAAGAATGTTCAGATAATTAAAACTGGAGGCCATAACATAAATATATTAGCTCATAACGGCATCCTGTCATGTATTTCTGTTAACTAACATTAAGGGTTTCGTAAAAAGAAAAGTTAGAAGATACAGAATGGAGAAAAGCACTTGAATCTCCATAAGTGCTATTCCCTTTACAGATTCTTTATCTGACATGTCTCATGGCTGAAACTTTTCCTTCAGTTCCTCCTTTCAACATCTCCCATTCACATCGGCTGTAGTCGAAACCAGTGAATCATACTGGCACTGGCATGAGCTTGCAGGTCTATTTCATGTGAAAAAAAACGTCTTAAAGGGGCTCTTGAAAAAATGGAGATGGCTGAGCTGGCAGCTAGCAGCTAACGGTGCTAACTAATGCGGAGCTAATGGCGTTAATCTGGGGAATCAGAGGGCGAGCGCTGCATTTTTGCGACAATGCTGTCATGATATCAGCACTAACCGCCACGTGAGCATAGTACGAAGTGATTATGATAAGCTAGCCGGTTGGATACTAACACACACGGTAGCCTACCACAATAAACCACATAAAAGGTTAGAGTAGCGAAGGATAAAGGGCACCATCACTCCACTGTGTCTTTACATAACAAGTAGTGGTTTGCTGCAATATTAATGCTCTGCTCTTTAAAAAATGTGTTTACTCATTAAAAAGCATATTCATAAATAAGTATCTCTGGTTTAGAATCGATTGAACAGATGCACACTCTGTGACGGTGCTTTACTTAGTGATTCATGGGTAAATGGGGTGGAGGCATGATGCCAGTGGAGGACAGGTGCACACCAGTGCAGTTTGATCACTTTGATCAGCATTGTGAGTCCACACAATGGAGGCTTCTTCTGTCCTACCTGCGAGAGGAGGTTGAGAGTAGCCGTAAATCCCAGATGTAATTTGCTCAAGAGCCCCACACAACCACTTTAATTTACTTCCATAAAGCAATCTGAGTGGAAGATTGGGCCACAGCGCTTGATCTAAAATGAGTTGGAGTCCTCCTGCTAGGAGCCGGAGGAGATGAAAAGCAGCTTGGAAACAGCGATTCACCTGCACTTTTTTTTTTTTTTTTTTCTTTTCTGGAAAGTGGTGACTCTCCAATATGGGTTTCCATTATACCTCCCAAGTTTCTCACTGTAGGGAGGAGGCAGTAAAATGAAATGGGTTGTTAAAAAGTAGGCAATGATCCATAAGAGGAGCAATATGAGTCTCAGAGATGGGGAGAGTGCGTTGACTGAAAGCTGTTGTCACTCTGACTGGATCCTGCTTTTGGCTCTGACTCTCTCTCCATCATCTGCCCTCCCTAACTGTCAACTCTCTGGCCGCGCTTCAGGTTGCTGCGGCTGCGTAACCCGTGGGGTCGCTTCTCGTGGAACGGCAGCTGGTCGGACGAGTGGACAGACTGGCCGCAGCACCTGCGTCACGAGCTGATGGCTCATGGCAGCAGCGAGGGCGTCTTCTGGATGGAGTACAGCGACTTTATAAAGTAAGAACCAGTTAACAGAGACATTTTGTTTGCTTGATTTCTGTATGTCAAATGTGAGGTATTGTCTAGTATCATGAAAAGGGTAGGCATGATAAGCTGTACCTTTAGTCTACGCCTGTTTTGGACAGCAGAAATCTTCACGTTGTATGATTATGTTCATTATTAACTGTGGTGATTGATTACAGTTTTCAGTTTTGATTTGTTTAGGAGATGGTGGTCTTATATTCACCAGGAAAGCTACAAAAACAATGACATCACAACATCTTTAGCCTCCAAGCTCCTCATTTGTAGACGTGTATCATCTCAGAAAGTCACTCACTCTTTCAGACTGTACATGAATTCACTCATTAACCTTTCTTCCCCCTTGTGGCCACCAGGAGGCATGGCAGCATCTTAAGTCAACACTTGACTGTCATGTTTTGTCAACATCTTTGCTGATAAGTCATCACTGCTGTGATTTATTTTTTTGCACTGCACGTTTCAGAGGTGACTCCACAGTCACCCACTGTGCCCACATGACAGATGCACATATTTTCCTTCTGCTAATTAATTTGAGCCATGCTGGCTGTGGCTGCTAACGCTACACTTCTTGTGTTCATTCCAAACACACGCCACGGTTAGAAATGTAAAATGCATGACTTCCTGTGACGATTTATCCCAGGAAGGAGCTACCCAGCAACAGCTGTTTTGAGCAGCTAATATCAAAGCTTTTGTTAACTGACAACAGGTGACACTAAAAAAAAGTGTATTCACCGCAGATCTCCGCCAGGTGTGTCTGGGGGCATGTGGGTGGGGAACATAACCAGAATAGACAGGCTATGAAGACAAACCTCGGACAAAATGTCTAGTAAAACTCCTCCATATCTTCCTGGTTATGTTATTATGCTAGCAGTGGCTAATGTAGCCTTGAGCTTCCAGCCTTCCCGTATCTTACAGGCAAGATGCCAGCCAAGATAACAAAATCTGGGATTTATTCATCTCGTATTGTGCCTAACTTTAGTGGATATTGATTGATCAATCAATCAGTTAATCAGTACTGGGTATGGGATTAATTTGCAGCTGCTCAGGTTCAAAATTAGACCAAATTTTCTATGGATGTCAAAGTGTAAACCACAATAAAGGCAAAAATGTGACCTGCAACTTACGACGTTAGGTTAGTTTTTTGCCGAGTTGTTTGGCGGAAATTCTTTTTACTATGTGATTTGTTGATGAATTGCATCCCCTACCAGCCACTTAAGAGTAGTAGCAGTCACTGAGGGTATAAACAGAGCAGTTAATAAAACAGGTTCTTAAAAAATTGTGAATCAATCTAACCATGAGAGGTTCCTGAGCATAAATGTGCACAAAATATTAGGCTGATGGGTCCAGTAGTATGTCAGATTAGCTGCGGACAGACAGATACACACATGACCGAATACTTGATCCCTTCCAGGATGGATGGATGCATATAACTTTCTAAAAGTGATGGATAGTTTAGTATTTTCATGCCTTTGTGGATTTTACTGACCATCTGGTACCAACACCAAACTGAGTGATGGCGTTTTTGTTGTTTTCAGTCCATTGTATTTGTTGTCATCCACTGTTTCCCACACCATGGTGTTATTATGCAGTTGTGTGGGTTTTTCTTGTGGTTGCTTCGGTTGCCAGGGACTTTGCCGGCAGAGGCTTAGACTTGTAATGGCTCTCAGTGTGTTTTGTCATATTACATTAATCCTGTCATTCAGTCACACACAGCATCAAGGGTCGGCTGGTGTTTTTCCAGCTCTTCTTCTGTGTGTTTTTATACATGACCATTTAATTGGTCAGTGACCTTGGCGAGGTCAGTAAACACTGTTTCCTGTAACAGTTTGATTGAAAAGTAACCTGGAACACAAATGGTTGTTGCCAAGAACTGTCCTTAAACATAACTGACTGAGCTGTAATGTTAGAAAAATAAACCTGAATGAAAACAGAACTGCATTACAGCCACGCACAGAATCTAACAAAGTGTGAAGACTGTGACCTGCCAGCAAAAACATTCCACTAAGTGTTTATATTTTCAGTAAAAACCTGATTTTACCAAAAGGTTACTCTCGGACTTGCCTGGAAAAGGTTTTTTCTTACTGTCAGCCAACCATCTGATAAATAGACGTTGTCACAAAGTCCACCAGGTTAGTAAGTTCGGTTAAAGATAAATGAAATGTTTATCAGGCTTTTATTCATGTCCCTCGTGTCCAACAAAATAAGAGTTGCAGTACGTCCAGAGGGATCAATGTGGCTGTCCACCTGAACAACTCAAACCTGAAAAATGTGCGCAACGGAGACCAGAGTCCCATCTGTCTTCTGATTGTTTAGTGTTTTTGTCTGACAGACAAATAATCTCTCAGCTTTGTCCTGTATGGCAAATGTACAGCATGTGCCTGCCTGGACTTGTTACAGTGTGAAAAAAGAGGTCAGCTGCTTGCACAAATATCGAGGCTCCTATATTGACTCCAGTGGACAAATAAATGATGGTGCTGATAAATAATAACACTGCAGATTGTTTCACTAAAAACAACAACTGAACCCTGAGAAACAAAAGGTTTCAACAGCAGACATATTTATCTCTAGAGATCAAAACCTACAGTAAAACTTCAGCATGCCTACCTTTTCTTTCTCTCTCTCTCCTTCCCAATTGTCAGGGAGACAAAAGATGTAAGACAGTTGTCAGAGCGGGGTTAGGAAGTGATGAAACAGTGAAAAACAGACTGAAAGTGAGGAAGAGAATGTCTCTTGGGGGCTCCGTCTTTTGAAGGAGGAGGTCTGATATGTTAGCGAGGTAAATGGTGTTTTCACGGCAGCACCTTCGGAGGCTATGCTAATGTTAAAGAGTTGCCTGTGATGCATGCAAATAGACTTAGCTCATGACAGGCGGAGAGCAGTCGGTCAAATCCTCGGTGTCTCAGAAGAATGGGTCCTTATGGACGTTTTTTTCTGTTGATGCTATATATATATTTATACTAAAGAAGGCTGTATCCTCTCAACCATCTCCTCCCACAGGTACTTTGACTCAGTAGACATCTGTAAGATCCACTCAGACTGGCAGGAGGTGAGGCTGCAGGGCTGCTTCCCCAGCAAGGCCAGCGGGCCAGTCACCGTCACAGCCCTCACTGTGCTGGAAAGGACGGCGCTGGAGTTTGCGCTCTTCCAGGAGGGGAGCAGGTAAGTAGGACAAGTCTCTCTCCTGCTGTTTATTTTCAGGGCATCTGCAGGTCTCTTAAAATGTCTTAAATTCGATTTCATCTACTTTAATTTATCCATCTTTTAATTTTCTTTTTATCAATATGATCAAGCTCCTTTGCCTGAAAGTCTACATTTCAGATGGTACAACTCTTTAATCCTAACACTGAATCTAATAATGTTTCTCACTGTAATATCTACATTCCTATGTAAAAGCTACCTCTGCACTTGAGTTGGGTCGTCTTCAGTTTGCCAGTCCAGTTCAGTGTACAAGCTTAACCAGTTTGGAAGGGAGCAGGGCACATTTTGTTTATTTACTAGAGAGTTCATGTGTTTTTTTGGGTGACGAGACAACACAAGGCAGAGTTAGGGGCCGTACACATGCCACGTCAGATCCGGCGCTGGATGCTACATTTGTGCCTTTTTTGAGCCAGCTTTCAAGAGCGCAGCAACAGGTTGCATTTGAGGTTGCCAAGCACCATATCAAATCCTATTTACCTGAAATCCTGAGTGCAGAGCTGATCTTCTGCCAGATGCTGTTTCTAAGTGTGTTGTCATATTGTCCGTGGGACAGATGAAAAGCTCTGGCAGCCCTGTGCCAAAGTTACCAACTTTTCCATATTTACCACAGACTGATATTTACGGAAGAAGGGAAAGCTATCCACCAACTGTGATTGGCTGTTCCTTGTCACATGACATGCGGTGTGCGCTGCTGCACTCCAAAAGTGAAACTCTGGCGTTTTAGCGTGCCTGCTGCACGTCTACATTGAAGACGATGAATTTGAGGGCACCAGAAACACAACATGTGTACAGCCCTTTAGTCTCTCAAGAAAACAAAAGCTGTGCCAATATGGCGACATTTTGGATTTGCTGACAAAAGAGGCGTCCTAACTGAGCTAAACTTTTGTCACGTTTCGATTAATTTCTGTCGCTCACTTTGAAAGTGCTGCAATGATGAAGAACAGCAAATTTATGAAGTGAAAATGAAGAATGATTTATCTCCTTAGGCCTATTTAACTACAAAGCCTCTATAAGGTGGCAGCTGGCTGGAGCGGGATCCTTAGGGAGCTAAAAATTCTGGTTTCTGACCCTCACTAATAACAACCTACTGGCTGTTCGTTATAATGTATGTTATTGCCAGTAAATACGACATCAGAAAATGTGGTTTTTATGTTTAAAAAATAATGTTACAACCATAGGAAGACAGCACATAGACTACTCATACCTATTTTAAGTGGTTAGCTCCTGATCTTGAGTGCACAGGTAATGTATTTATGTGGTAAAAGACATGACATTAACAGAAGTGCATTTTTAAAAGATTCAGTGTGGACAGAGAGCTCCAATTTTACGCTGTGCAGCACAGTAGTTGGACGCTGTTGGGACATGGTGTCCTGGTCCACTCAGGAGCGGCTGCTGAGTAAAGTGTACACCAGTCCGTTACAATATACACTACTTACCTTTATACTTAGCTCCTCCTCCGCCTTCTCACTGCTGCTTTGCATTAACTCATTCATCCCCTCCCCAGGCGCTCGGACACAGCCGACAGCCACCTACTGGACCTGTGCATCATGGTGTTTCGTGCCTCCTTCGGCAGTGGCAACAAGCTGACTCTCGGCCGCCTGTTGGCCCACAGCAAGCGGGCGGTGAAGAAGTTTGTTGGCTGTGATGTCATGCTGGAACCGGGGGAGTATGCTGTGGTCTGCTGCGCCTTCAACCATTGGCAGATGAATGTCAGCGGGACGGGAGGTCCACCCACACCCAGTAGGTGTACACAAACAGTATGCTCAAGCAACACTTTTGTTGCTTATGAATATTTGCCGAGTTCATCCCATAATAACCCATAACCCTGTTGTATTTCTGTCCTGCAGTCTCCAGTCCTACCAGCGGAGCAGCACGGAGGCCCAGCCAAGACTTCCCCGGCTACATCCTCGCCATCTACAGCTCCAGACAGGTGATGGTGGAGCAGGTGGAGGCGACGGCCACCACGCTGGCAGACGCCATCATCCTCCTCACAGAAAACAAAGGGGAAAGACACGAGGTGAGACACATGTACACACACACACACACGCCTGAGAACAAGAGAATAAGCACACGTCTCTGCGCGCTGTCTCTGTCTCACACCTACACACACAGACGGTGTTTGAGTATAATGCTTGTGAAGCCGCAGAACGCTTGCAACTCCGTAAGCCACTTTGAGATAGCACTTCAGATTTCCGTAGCAGAGCCCTGAATCCTATTCTGCCTTTACACATGTGAGTGTGTGCGCATTATCTTTCCCACACACACGCACGCATGCACACATGCACACACGCAGCCGCTCACACCCAAGGAAGCAAATTATTCTGGCTCTCCTGAACAGCGCTTTCCTGAAAGTGCTGTCACATCGGCTGGTATTTTAGAGGAGCTTTTTAAACACTTGAGATCATCTTTGTTAAATCATTCAGCTCTTCAGCTCTCCAGGAATTCACCGCTCACAGTAGGTGGGCCGAGCACTAGGGAGTGCGCGGCAGCCACTACACGCGCACAAGTGTTTTAACAATAGGGTGAAAAATAAAGACATTTTGAGGGTGGGTATTAATAAGTAATTTGAGCTGTCCAGAGTTGTGAGACAAGAGATTTGTATTGTGTGTTGCTGGCGGATATATTTTAGGTGCAGTGTGGGATTACTGGATGCTGTTACTGGGCCATTGGACAGCAGCTAAAGCAGTTTGGCTGCACTTGTATTCTCTGTGTGTACAATTACAGGCCCCAGAAGAGAGATCAGCAGCCGCTGCTTGAGAGATGACAGTCATCTTGCCAATTCCTTTATTTTTGTTGTAGACTGAAAATATTTGGGTTTGACATCAAAAGATGAATATGGGACAAGAGATCAACATTTCAGCTTTCATTTCCAGGTATTTACATCTGGATCTGATACACAACTTAGAAGATAGCACCTTTTGTTTGAACCCACCCATTTTTCATGAGAGCAAAAGTATTGGAACATGTGACTGACAGGTGTGTTTTGTTGCCCAGGTGTCTCCCAATTACATTGATTATTCAAACAATAAATAGCACTGAATGTCTGAGCTCAGTTTCAGATTGGGTACGATAGGTTTTGCCTGTGCAGACTGCATTTAGAGGTGGAACCAACATGAAAACCAGAGAGCTGTCTATGGGTGAAAAAGAAGCAATTGTGAATCTGAGAGAAGATGGACAATCAATCAGAGCCATTGCACAAACATTGGCCATAGCCAGTACAACCATTTGGAATGTCCTGAAGAAGAAAGAAACCACTGGTGTACTAAGCAACAGACATCGAACAGGTAGACCCAAACATACAAGCTCATCTGTGAAACACGGTGGAGGTAATGTCATGGCTTGGGCTTGCATGGCTTCTTCTGGGACGGGCTCTTTCATCTTCATTGATGATGTAACACATGATGGCAGCAGCAAAATCAACTCAGAAGTCTACAGAAACATTTTGTCTGCTAATTTAAAGAAAGATGCAACCAAACTGATTGGGAGATCCTTCATCATGCAGCAAGATAACGACCCAAAACACACTGCCAAAACAACAAAGGAGTTCATCAGCGGCAAGAAGTGGAAGGTTTTAGACTGGCCAAGTCAGTCTCCAGACTTGAACCCAATAGAGCATGCATTTTACCTGCTGAAGAGGAGACTGAAGGGAGTAACCCCCCAAAACAAACAACAACTGAAAGAGGCTGCGGTGAAAGCCTGGAAAAGCATCACAAAAGAAGAATGCAAAAGTTTGGTGATGTCAGTGGGTCACAGGCTTGATGCAGTTATTGAAAGCAAAGGATTTGCAACTAAATATTAAGTCTCATTCACTTTAATCTATTTTAAGTTTATATGTTTCAATACTTTTGCTCACCTAAAAATTTTGTGTTCCATTACAAATGCTGTCTTCTAAGTTGTGTATCAGATCCAGATGTAAATACCTGGAAATAAAAGCTGAAATGTTGATCTCTTGTCTCATATTCATCTTTTGATGTCAAACCCAAATGTTTTCAGTCTACAACAAAAGTAAACGAATTGGACTCACTGTTCCAATACTTTTGGAGGGCACTGTATAATCTTTATCTTTATATACATGCCTCTTCTGGAATAACTTTGCTTCAGAAACACAGTGTGCAGTTCATTTTCAGATCACATAATTTTAGACATCACATTTGTTTTTCACTTGTCCGATTCAACGACTGCTTGAGGCCTTTTACTTGTCCTGGGCAAATGTTAATGTTGAGCTCTGCAAACACTTTGGTGGACACACAACACTACTAGGTAGAGTGCTCTCAGTGCGCTGTGACTACTTTAGTTAATTTAGCCGTATCATGCAGATTTGTTTTCCCCCATAAACTAATGGAATGGTTGAAGAGTTTGTAGAAGTAATGAAGATTGTCTTTCTACAGTCCTAGAAATGAAGCAGTCTTTCTTTGGACAGAAGCCAACAAATATGTTGTATTATTTCCTACTCACATTTTTGTGTGTTTCCATGTGTGCTCTCAGGGTCGCGAGGGCATGACATGCTACTACCTGACACATGGCTGGGCGGGGCTTATAGTGGTGGTGGAAAACCGCCACCCCAAATACTACCTCCACGTCTCCTGCGACTGCACTGACAGCTTCAATGTGGTGTCCACGCGCGGCAGCCTCAAGACCATCGACAGCGTCCCACCTTTGCACAGGTACACACACACACACACACACACACTTATCACTCTTTTCCTCGCATACACACAACTCTGAAAGTCATTTTTTATCAAGCTACGTTTCACCTTGGAAGAGCCTGAATGGATTGCAAGTGAGGAGATTAAATGCTTTGGGAACATTTGGTACAGGTGCAGCAAACATCCACCCATTTAGACGATTATATCCGTACCCACATACACACTTATATAAACGGCAGCGTTCCCAGCGGATTAGCGCTCCGTATTTCTTAATAATCTACCTTTGGCTGGTCTCAGCACAGTTATAGCTGCCTTTGTTTTCTGTTGGTCCCAGTTGTTCCTCTGCCCATTAAAGCCAAAGATTTAAAGTGCTGAAAAATATTGTGCACTCGTACACACCTGTGAGTTGCAGCACAGTGAAGCCGTTCACACATCATTAGGTTTATCTGAATTTAGGTTCTTTGGACATCTACTGTACGAATGTTTCAGTCGCACAGACGCATTACAGCGAACATTAATGTAAATTTACGACCTTATCACCTCGAAGTTATGTCCCACTTAATGGGAAACTGTAAAAAGTCACCATGCATGAGGACCATGTCTTTTAATGCCGTTTTTTCTCATCTAACAAGAACATTATGTCACTTTACTTGATAAAAACACTCTGCTGCAATATCACAGTCTTATTTTCCGACGTTCTTACTCACTTGCTATTATACAACCAGTTCAGAGGCGACAGCATTTAGCAGCCAGGTAATCATATTCAGGACTCTCACTGGAGTGTACTCAGATATGGTTAAGACTGGGTAAGTGTGAATAACACTCAAGCCTTGTGTTACTTCATCTTGTTCTCAAAGTAGACTGAATCAGAAAAACAAGCTACAATAGAGTGCTGAATAAGCAGCTTGTCTTCCTACTATCATATATTTAACTTTGCTGACTAGCTAATAAACAGTTCCAAGATCAGCGCCATATTTAGGGACTGTGCAAAAATTATTAGCCAGAAAAAATATTTTTGTTTGAAGGAGGGAAGTTTGACTTTTTGGGGAGAGCAGGGATGAGTCATCTAATTTTTTTATAATCTCATCCCTTTTTTTATTAAAAGGTTAATTGAAAGCAGACAACCAATTACAAAAATACATTACAGTATTATGAGTTCACAGCAGTTGAACAGCATGACCTTACACCTTCTATCCTCAGTATCCTTTTTTAAACAGTGTGTATCCTATAAAGTTTTCTTAAGCTATTGTACATTGTAAAAAAAAAAAAAAAAAAGATGTGTAACAGAGGTATACATTAATGAACTGGGACATTCCAGTACATTATTTTTAAGTTGCTTACAATGGTTAGAGGACCAGGCATCCTTTAGGGGATCTATTAATTTGTCAACACCAAAATATGTGGTTCCTCCCTCGTGCAATTTATTGTTGAAAAGGTTAGATAAATCAAAAAGATCTAAACTGATTCATATTTTTATCAAAGAAATGGAATCCAGAGTGGGGTAAGGATATTTGTGTGCTTCAGTCCATCAGCAGTCACAGACCTGTCGCGTGTTCCTCCTTCACTCTTTAGATAACTGTAATAGTGTTTTTTTAATTCAGCTGCACTTTATTTGGAATCTGAGAGTGTCTGGTTTTGCACCATTCTGTTCTGGGTATTGCAGTTTTTGAAGATTAGGGAAGTGTCTGAAGAAAATATTAATTACGTTGAGAAAGGGCCTTGCTTTTTAGATAAAACGAAACACAGGATATATGGTTTGTTTATAGAAGCAAATAAGAGACATAGGTATTTGAATTTTAACGACCACTGAGTACTTAATGTGAACATATATAAACACCTCTGAATTTATTGCATTTAAATATTTTACTTGTGTTTTATTTGCAATTTCAGCAGCTTAATTTGAATATATTTTGAATATATATGTTTTGGAAATTTAAAAAATTCAGTTTGTTCAAAATTTTATCAGTCAAAGTCAAATCCAGAAATTCAAGTTGAAGAATTTCAAATAGCAATGTCTGGGCTGCCCAGGACAGGATAGGCAGTTGAGTCTGAATGCAATTTAACCAGTCTCTGGCGTATCAGAGCACGATCTGTCAGTCCTGTGAACTGATGCAGCTTGAAAACTGAAACCCAAATTACCAGGGAGAACGATAGGACTCCGATAAGTTGTCTGGTTTGCGCTCTTTACGTGTGATTGATTGCCCCGGGTAGCCTGGGTGTTGCTGTTTGAAACTCTGAGAGTTAAATTTTTATGGAATTGAAGTTTTTAACACTAAAAAAAGATATTAAAATTCAGCTTTTAAAATTGCAAATCAAGAAATTTTACATTTCAATTTCAAATAGCTGAATTTAAATTTTAAATTTTAAAATGGAAAAAAAAACAATTTAATGAACTCAGTGGTGTTTAAATTTCAATATTAATTATTAAGAGGATGAGAAAATTCAAATACTGATGTCTCTTAAAAAATAGTAAATCCCTGTGCACAGCGGCGCAGTGCTTCTTCTAGGTGCCAGCTGGTGCAGGATAAATCACAGTCAAGAGTTCAAAAACTTCCAGCGCACACTAGAATGTCAGGATTGACACAAAGTTTATTCAAAAATGTTTAACAACAAAAGGAGCGAACGATATATTCGACGATGATATTCTAGTGTGCGCTGGAAGTTTTTGAACTCTTGACTGATGTCTCTTCTTTGCTTCCAGAGATGAGGTTGTATGATTACCTAATGTTCACCCCCCCTCCTCACCGTACACAATGCACAGCAGAAATAAAACAGTATTTGTATTGAGTATGGTGCCCTAATGCTCTCTGTCTCCCCCTGCAGGCAGGTGCTGGTGGTGCTTTCACAGCTGGAAGGAAACGCCGGCTTCTCCATCACCCACCGCCTGGCTCACCGCAAAGCAGCCCAGGCCTCCCTGGGAGACTGGACCCCCACCAAGGCCACCCACAGCCCCCAGCTCACTCCGGACATTGATGGCCTACACCGGCCCCGGCCGCTATGACCACCGCCCACTATCTCACCCACACACACTGACTATGATCCGATGTACTGTCAGACCACTGGAAAACCAGGCAACGGAGGGCGAGTGGTGTGCGCAGCCCTGAAACTTTGAGAAAGATGTGTATTTGTGTGTCTCGTTGGATGAACACACACCTGAATGTAAAGCATAAATGGCGCAGCATGTACGTGCTGCTCTCCTAATGCTCCATAAATGCTTTCATCCAGCCCACACGCGCTCTTTCCCTTGCCAAGTGGATGTGCCATTACAGGATGAAATGAGGGAAGCAGGTCACACGGAGTGACCTGGGCTTACTCACGAAAACATTTGTTTCACCCAGGCACCAACAGGATCCAGTTCAGACTACTTAAAAATACTCTGGAGGTTTTTTTGGTACGAGCGCTGTAACGCGGAACGGATGTCATCCCCGAGCTTCATATGCTTGGAAGACGACCCTGCTTTCCTCACAGAAGCCAGGGTGGAGTGCCGTAACTACTGAGCCATTTGCCGGCCCACAAACTATGAGCCAATCACCCGCAGCAATCAGACACTTACCCCCTATTTCGTCCACAAGGACAGCTTACAAAGCAGGAGACGTCACGGGGAGTTAATCTCGCCCAGCCCTCGGTACGGTACTTAATGAGCCAAACCCATATTCTAATTTTACTTACAGTCATACATGTTTTTTTTTTATTTGAGACAACACACGTCAGTCTTACTTGTTTTATATATGGCCCTCGGTGCCGCCTTGTCCATATTTGTGTTTTCGAGGTCATAAAAAAAGCCATCATTCATCCAGTACTGTCTGTCCCCATTCTCCATCATCGCTGCAGTGCTGTCTAGCGCTCTCTCTAGCTCAGGACCAAACCCATGATTTGTAGAGTAAAGCTGGAGTCAAACAAAACCTCAAGCTCATGTTGTGGCAGGTGTAGGGTGCCCAGCTGTGGTGTGGAGAGGTTTTAAACTGACACATAATAGAATTCCCTCCCTTGTGCTTCAATAGACTAACATGCAATTTTGGCTTTTTCCCTGCAAAGAAACAACCACCTTTTTTTTTTTTTTTTTCCTTCCTTCCTCTTACTTACTTTAATTCATTTTCACTCAGCCCTCAGTTCAGGGTCTAAACGCTGGAGGCGAGTCATTACATGACCGGCTTTGTACTTTACCTCTCGGGCACGCTGGCTTCGCTCATCCAGTTCAGCCGTCAGTTTATATCCTCACACATAAATTCACACTTGAGGAGCAAGTCTCCTCTCTAGACGTTTATCTTCAGTGAATTAATGCTGCGTCTTGCACTCTTGGATTGTGACACCCCCAGAATTTGTGTCTGATCTTTTTGTTGGTACTGAAGGTCAGTGAGTATTTTTCTTTTTCTCACACTGCAACAGTTTGCCAGTATTTTTGATTTACACTTTAGTGCATTTAGGGAGTACCAGAGGAGCTACTTGCTGTTTGAACAGTCAGTTTGCCATAGGGGAGCTCTTACGACGAGCTGCCGAGTTTACTTTGGGAGGTCAGGGACCATTATTGTTTGCTTGGGTGCAGCGCGAGCATCTGGGCCACCCTCCCACAAGAATACACCGACCGCACATTAGCGACAGCACAGAGTCCTCGTGTAATAACAAATTACCATTTTGTCAGACTGCGTGCACACATAACAAGAGAGAGAAGGGGCCCCTGAGACATGTTGTGACACAGAAAATAGTTTTAGTTCCCTCACAGTTTTTTCGGCTGCATCATTTCAAAGCAAGGGCTGCCTACAGCTGTTGTACGCAGGTCTTCTTCCAGGACCCAACCCGCTTGTTTGTTCCAATTTCTCCAGTGTCAAAGCCATTACTCCTGCTCCACTAAGGAACCTTTTAGTCCTCACCATGGCAACATGGATGTTTTATCAGTGAGAGGGGAAAGACTGACGCGGTACTATAGTAACAGGGTGGAGAGGGAGTCTTTTTTTTTAAAGTCATAGTTGATGTCTTACTGTTGTGTAGTGAAATGGGGGAAACTTGAAAGCTGATAAGCAAAATTGCCAGAGCTGATTGTCTTTTATGTCAAGATCATTTTAAGTCTAAACATTGATGTTCCCACATGAGATGATCAGGATTTAAAGGTGCAGTGTGCAGGATTTGGGGGGATATATTGGCACAACTGGGGTATAATATAAGTATATTTCCTTTAGTGTATAATCACCTGAAAATAAGAATCGTGTTTACGTTACTTTAGAATAAGCTGTTTATATCTACATGTACAACCGTGTACAGTAACCCAGAACAAACAAACCAAACACTGGTTCTAGATAGGGCTATTTACATTTTTGTAGCCACAGTAGTTAGCAGCCCCCCATGACAAGCCCAGTATTGTTGGAAAAACACGGATTTTTAACATGAAACCGTTTTATTCCGTGTTTTTACCGGTTTAAATGACAGAGTCTGTTTGTTTTGGAGAGAAAGAGACCTCGGTGGGAAATTTGGATCCTGATAAAAACCTCTTGAACATCCAGATCTTAAGTTATCAGAGAAAAAAGGTGAGCACACATTAGCAGGTGCTGGGCTAGCGGCCTGTCTCCGACGAACCAAACGGCGTAGGAGAAACACTGATTTGTAACATGAAACATGCTTTTTCAGTGTCTTTACCAGTTTAAATCAACTGGTCGGTTTGTTTTAGAGAGGAGAAGACCTCTGGTGATAAACACCTCCTAAACAATAAACACAATGAACAAGGAATCCTAACCGGGAGAAGTTTCATCTGGGCTAGCGGCCCATCTCGATGAGCCAAAGAGCTTAGGATGAACACTGATTTGTAATATTTTATGGTTGTATTCAGTGTTTTTACCTATTTTAATCACCTGATCAATTAGCTTTGGAGAGGAAGAGACCTCATCAGATAATTGGGCTCCCAGTCAAAACCTGAAGATTGAACACTGAAGGAATTCTAACCAGGAGAAGTTTCAGCTGGGCTAGCAGCCCGTCTCCAATGAGCCAAATAGCATAGGAGAAACACTTGATTTGTAACATGAAACACCTTTTTTCTGTGTTTTTACTGGTTTAAATCAACTGGTGCTTTGTTTTAGAGAGGAGAAGGCCTCCGTGGATAATTCAGCTCCTGGTCATAAAACCTCCTAACAACAAACACTAAAGGAATCCTAACGAGCCAAAGAGCTTAGAATAAACACTGATTTGTAATATTTTAATCACCTGGTTACTAATTTTGGAGAGGAAAAGACCTCTTCAGATAATCCGGCTCCCAGTCAAAACCTGAACAATGAACACTGAAGGAATCCTAACCAGGAGAAGCTTCAGCTGGACTAGCGGCCCATCTCCGACGAGCCAGAGAACTTAGAATAAACAATCATCTGATCAAGTATTTTGGAGAGAAAAAGAGCTCTTCAAATAATTTGGCTCCCAGCAAAAACTTAAACAGTGAACACTGAAGGAATTCTAACCTGGAGACGTTTCGGCTGGCTGCAACCCTCACTGCTAGATGCCACTAAATCCCTCTAAATCTTACACACTGCTCCTTTAAGCACAGTGACCTTGAGTTTAAAAAGTGCTGCATCATCTCTGGAGCCTCGTCCCTCTTTGTTGTTGGTAGCATTGATGGTAAATGGCAGCACTGTGCACCATATGCTTTGCAGTCTTACTCACTCTGCACAACCACGTCCAGCAGACTGTACTTCATGACATGTTCGGGACAGCGTGTAAGAAAAACTACCACAGCAGTGTGACGTTACTGTGACGAAACCTGAAGCTGAGGTAGCTGTAAATATGTTCTCCAAAGAAACATAATGTGTAATGACCACTTTCAGATGTCTGTCTGCCCTGTGTGAGCGTGTGCGTGGTCTTTTTAATTTATTTGTATAAGTGACTTGCAGGCCTGTTGTCAAAAGAATATTGCTGAATACTGGACTGATGAATGACAGATATAGGAATGTGATAATTTTATGGCTTCAGTTTGAGCCCAGAGGGATTCGCTTGAAGAGAAATGAACCTGCACTGAAACACCTGCAATGACAAGGCACCTCAAAATTCAGTGTCACCGCTGGATCACTTTACATTTACATGAGATTTTTTTCTGTTTTATACTTTGTTTTTTTGTGTCATAATTGTCATTGTTGGCTCTTGCTGGTGTCCTATGAACCTACTCCTCTTCTGTGAAGTTGTGGTGGTGAACTCTTCTGTGCGTCAGGGGCGCCCCCTGCTGCTGACGAGGCTGCATCCAGAGAAAAAGCTGGTCATTTACAGACCGGCCGACACAACGCCTTGTCCTCTTCCTCTCCTTTGTCTGGTTCCCTCCTTGTAAATTGTACAGACTGCAAACTTAAGCCACACAAAAGATAAGAAAACAGAAAAAAAATCAACTGACCCTTTTAAACTTGTAAAGAAAAAATGATTAAAGTATGATAGTAGAAACAAAAAAATGAACCTAATGCTGAAAATAATGGAACTCTGATGAATGTGATATATATTTTATTGATCTTTTCTGGGAGGGGAATATGAGTATATGTGTACAAACTTATGTATGTTTAATTTTCAATCTCAGGTTCCGATGGACCAAATAAATTTTTTTAAATTAAAGCAACATTTGTCCTTATTGCGAACGCAATGTTTTCCCACATACAAAGTTAAGTTACTATATTAATAAGCAGAGGTGGGACCAAGTCAGTGTTTTATGAGCTTAAAATAAATCATAAAAATAATGCTGACATCACACTTTCATAGCATATAGCACCATAATCAGCACCACAATTAGCTCTCTATGTTATCAGCCTCAACTTCGTGTTTTTCGTGCAACTTAAAACGCCTAATAAAGTTGGAAGTTGCAAATCCATCTGTAATTTTTGACCTGCACATCTTGCATACTGCAATTAATTTTTTTAATGAACACTTTAATGAAAACTTGTTCTTAGAAATGTAACATTGTTCATGCTTTCATGGTTTTTCCTGCAGCCTTACTGGATGCTGCTGGATCAGTCCAAACAAAGTGGATCTGGAGAATTGCATGATGACTTGTTGGGAATGACGTTAATGTTAGTCATGGTTGGATCACTGCACAGGCCCAGTGGCTTTCACCTGTAATTTCAGTCAAACTAAATCATAGGGACCAGGAGGAGACTCAAAATGACTTCAAGGAGATACAAAAAAAATTATAGCTGCTGTGCAGCGATGGGTCGGGTCCGGCATTTTTAGGCAATTCTGAGCAACAAGCAGAAGAATTGGAAGACATTTAGGAATTTAGCAACACAATCTGCGTTTTGCATCAGCTGAGGCTTGAACTCTCAACCTCTGAGACTAATAATCAATTTCTATCTCACTGAGCTAATTAGTCAGTGACAATTCATGTGTAGCTTCACAAATTGACTAAGCCAGACGTGCAGCTTTAGCAGCCGTCCATGCATGGAAAAGCAGATTTCAAACCACTGTAAAAAAAATATACATATTGCATCTAGACAGCATGGAGATGTTGGTAATTTGTTTGTAACAATGATTGATTTGCTCCATAAGTGAAAAACTGATGTTTAAAATTGACATTTTTACATTGACTCCAATTGTTCACATTAGAGCAAAATTCAAAATGCTGTCAAAAATTCAGTTTTTGAGATAAAATTCTGAAATTTGCCACACATCATCTACCATGACTCTAGAATTTTGTCATATTTTTTCATGAGCACTGAAGATTTATTTAGCAAGAATTTGCATGTATATGTTTACAGTACTGTTTACAGTCAAACATTTTGATGCACTGTAGGCTCAATTTTTGATAAATCAAAAATCTGAGAAATGTAGTTTTTGTAAGACAGTCTGAAGATGCTCTGTAGCAAGTTTGGTGTCAATTGAGCAAAAACTGTGGGAGGAGATAGGTTTAAGAAGTTTTACAGTTTTTGAAAAAACAGAGTGATGAACTTAATAATTTTTAATAGGTTTAAATGTACAAAAGTTTCTTCAGTATTGGGGCTACAGTTTGATGAACGTTGTGAAGTTGTAGCACGTATAGTTGATTTGTTATGAATTTTCAAAATTTTGAACTTTAGACGCTTGCTGTAGCGCCACCATCAGTACTATTGGCTTGAGTTTACAGCTGAGGATATCTGGCATGAGACTGGACCTTTGTGCAAAGTTTGGTGTGTTTTCACCCATGGGAAGTATGATTTCCTCGGAAGAAGAAAGAAGAAAGAAGAAGAATACCTAGGATTACAATAGTGTCCTGGCAGCTTAGCTGCCCAGACCCTAAAAAACACAAAACGACCAACAAAGACCCCAGATTACGTAAAACTTCAGTTAATAGCCCGGGCTATTATTTGCTTAAATCACGGAATTCAACAGGCATATATTTGGGACAGGCCTTTAATTCCTTCCACACAAAACTGTTGCTCACCAAAGATCGGGAAATATGATCAAATTGTTTATTTAAACCATGTGAGGGGTAGTGACGGACTGAGGAATCAAGTCTCTTTAATACATGCAGCATGGACAGACTTTTATACCAAACCAAAGCTCTGATGACCCCAGGTTGCACCCACCAGCTGCACTCATAAAGGACAGTGCTCCCCCTAAAAAACGGTTTAGCAAAACAGGAAACTTACTCCCTAAGAAATGAAAGGTCATGACCTAAGGTGTAGAGAATTGCCTCCCAAAGGTTCCTGACTAATTCCCACAACCAGTATGATTACTTGCAAAAAAATCAGGCTTCAGTTTATGTATCAATTATGAATCATTTATTCGATTTAGCTCTAACGTCTAAAGAGCTATTACAAAAAAGAATTAACTGCTTTGCAAGCAGACCAGGCCTCTATTTGAGACAGGCCTTTATTTGTCAAAATGTGGAGCCACGCCGGGCTGGTTCAAGGGACTGGGCGTTTAGTTGAAGTTTTACGGTCTGTTGCAACCAGGAGGAGACACGAAAGGACTACAGAGCATCACAAAATGACCCAAAAAACACCCTATAGTATCTAAATACAACACAAAATTATCTCAGTGAGACCCAAATGACCACCAGCGGACACAAAATGACTATGAAGAGACAAAAAACCCACAAAAAGATGCATAGCAACTAAAAGTGGAGTCTGAGGTCATCCAATTTGTGGCTCGAGTCTGACTCAAGTCCAAGTCAAGTGACGCAAATCCACACCTCTGGTAGTGCATAACAAAGAGGAATTCATAGGCAATCTACAGAAATCAGTTTGGATTTTTTTCCCATTCAGGCTTTTGTTTTTGATAAATAATAGGAGGAAATCAAAGCTTTCAAGCTGCAAATATTTAAGTGGAAAAAAAGTCTGATGAAAGGATAATGTATTTACATATCAAAAATGTTTCCCACTTATATGTACACTTGTTTACCACACTACTATTGATCCCTGAAACCCACTCTCTGATGTGTTTGTTATCGCTGGTTCCTCTTTGCTCTTCATTTCCTGCCCTGTGAAGTGTCTCCTCTCATCTCTGAACTCTCCAGCAGACTGAGAGTGTTTTCGCAGGATGTTTTGGGGTGGAATATATTTCTGTGGTATCTTGTGTTGATGTGTGTGTGCTGTTTGAGTCTCCACCTCTTCTCCCAAACAGCCCCCTCTTCTTTTGGCCCCCATCTTTCTCTGAGGTAAACCCATCTCCACCCCCCCCACCCCCCACCCCACCACCCCCCCAGCAGCTCCACCAACCTACCCCTCTCAGTCTCAGATGCCAGGAGCACACGATATTCCCCAGCCCACCCCTGGCTTCTTCCCCAACTTTGGCTCTGTGGTGAGGGAATTTATCTGACCTCGGCGGAGACACAGAAACACCCAGAAGCCTCCATGAGGTGGTGACGTCCAACACAAGGAGCTGTCAATCCTTTTTCTTCCACCAAGAAGATCACTCTGCTCATCTGGAACCACAGGTATGACTGCTAAAATGTCTGTCCATGTCTTCAGTCATCCTCAGTCTGGAGTGCACGGCAGGGGCAGGGTGAAAATGTGATGATAAAGCTGTGGCCAGATAGTGAGCGGATGGACTTGGCATGCTGAGAACTTCACAGTCAGATATGTGAGGAGAGACAAGCAAAAACGGAAAAAAAAAACCTGCCCCCTCGTGGGAAATCTGTTCATTTCAAACCCCATGCCTCCCTGGTGTTGTGTAGATATGGAGGAGCTAATTAGATATAAGCCTTTCAATTTTGTCTGCAGACATGATAAGGCTTAAATCATCCCCCAGCAACACTTGGTACGAAATTGAAAAGATACAGAGTTCCTCAAAGTAGACAGAAAGTTGTTTTCATGTAAAAACTGGAGCGGCATTGTGAGTACAACAGAGTGTCTCGGTGTGATAAAGGAAAGCAGTTATTGTGCAAGTCAGTTCACCGCTGCAAGCAGTTTGGCGAGTTTTCAAGGCCAGGTGAAGCACTGCTGTACTTTAGGGACAGGTAGATGTGTCAAATATCTTAAACCAAACACAAATGAGATTAAATGTGCTTTCACATGTATGTGATTTTAACAAATCTGGTGTTGACTGGCAATAAAATCTAAAGAAAGACCCGACCACTGACAACAAGATGATCACATTTCTCTCCCCTCTTATTTTCCCCCATGTCAAGCCAAGTGAATAAATCATGTGACATGTAGGTGAGGAGGTGAGGAGGGAAGGGTTTTATGTCAAGGGTAGGGGCGTAAATGGCTCGAGGAACATGTCTGAAGCCTCCATCTGTCTGAGAATCCGGGTGATCCTCTTGTCATGAGAGCTCCTGTCATCACAGATCAAGTATGTGTGAGTAAGAGAAGGTGTATTTTAAAGCACAAAGGTATTCGGTATGTCCATGTTGAGGAGAGATCTCTATGTCAGCCTTGAGATTATCACAATTCAGAATAGGGATCTATGCTGTCCTGTTTCATGGCTGCTTGGCTCATATCTGCAGCTTGAGAATAACTCTTTTTTTTTTATGTTCTCATCGGCTCTGAAATAACTTTACATTTTCAAGAGCAACCCCTGTCTGGAGTCATCCAATAGCAGTGAAAATCTTTGTAGTGTCAGTACAGCGTGTTACTTGCTTGTCAGGGCGCATAGAACAAATACCTCTGTGAGGCTTGGGACTGTACTGTTTGTCCTTCCAACATTTCCAGCCCTGCTTCTTCTCATTTGTCAGTGTGACCTGGTTGGTGAGGTGGGGGGTCCCTGTCTGTCACATCCCACTGACTGTGCTTTGTGTCTGTCTGTATAAACACACACACACACACCACACATAGACGTGTAAACCAGTGGATTTGATGTTTTAGGACAATTGTGTTGTTGGGGGCGCAGCACCCTATTCTGGGCCTACAGCTGAAGCATTCCTTCCTCTCTTGATCCATGTCTCTTTTATGCTCTTTTAGCATTTTTTCTGTCTTTCCTTTTTCTTTTTTTTTTTTTGAAACCTGATTTCCCTTCTTGGGGAAAGACACGAAAGCGTATATTGGTGCTACAGCAGCATAACTCACTCGGCTCCAGCTGCTTTTAGAGAAGAATGCAAGTGCAGGGGTGGGCTAAACCATTTCACGCCTTTAAGGGGTGAGAGGAGCCTGAGAAAGCTGCCATTATTTTTTTTTAAGAAAAGGTAAAGGCTCTCAAATGATTTAGTCAGCCAGTTTTTAGTTATAGCTAATTACTTGCAAACAAAACCAAAATTTTTATCCCAGGCTTTTCAGGGGCCCCCCCTCCCATGACCAATTTCCTCCCCATAACAACACCCCTGGTCCAGAGTGTAGGATTTAGGGGGACATATACTGACAGACAACAAATATAATGAAATAAGAGAGTTGTTGTCTTGTCGTTACCTTAGAATGAGCTGCATATCTGCATAGGTAACAGGTGTTCATCCATAGAGACTGCCATGTTGCACCACCATGTTTGTACAGTAGCCCAGAACAGACAAACCAAACACTGACTCTAGATAGGGCAATTCATGTATTTGTGTTGGCCACTGTAGTTTACAGCCCATCTGTGACAAAATGTACTTAAAAACACTGATTTTTAATGTAAAACTGCTTTGTGTTTTCACCGGTTTAAAAGACCTCCATTGATAATACAAGTCCCATTTAAAACCTCCTGAACAACTGGATCTTAAATTATCAGGGAAAAAAGGTGAGCACACATGAGCAGGCACAGGTGCATTAGCAGGTGCTGGGCTAGCTGCCCGTCTCTGACAAGCCAAACAGAGTAGGAGAAACACTGATTTGTAACATTTTATGGCTTTAATGAGCTGTTCCATTAGTTTGGGAGAGGAAAAGACCTCTAGAGATAATTTGGCTCATGTCAAATAACATCCTGAACAATGAGCACTGAAGGAATTCTAACCAGGAGAAGCTTCAGCAGGTTGCAATCTGCAATCGTCGCCACTAGATGTCACTAATTCCCCCAAGATATTACGCACTGTTCCTTTAAGTGACCGATCCATAAGTTTAAAGGCCAATCGGACACCAGAACATTGCTTAGCATTTAATAATAGGCTATTCTAGGACAGGATTTTACAACCGGAAAGTTAACACCACAGCAATTATTTTTCGTTGTGACAGTCACGTGGCAAACTATAAAAAGGGAATGTGTTCCAAGGTAATCTACGAGGAATGTGTGCTTACACATACAGCATTTGACTAACCAGGATGGCATTGGGTTGTGGTCATGCAGGTGAGCCAGGTTCAACGAGATGACATTAAGTGTTTATGTAATGCTTCATTCCTCTGCTAGTGGGACATTAAAGGCCACAATATGGCGTCTGAGATCCCAGCAATTACACAGCCCGACGCTCCAAGGACTGACAGCGTCTTCTCTGTCCTGTCCGGCTTTTACTCTCTGGACTCTGGCGTTCCTGGACTCTCTCAGGTGATTCTCGACAAGCTCAACATGAAGGACTACGGAGAATACAGGTAAAACTTAGCAGAGCCAGTGTTTTATATTCCAGTAAATCCATTAACATGTTTGGTGCTTGACAAGTGACAAGTGTCTGACTCTAATAAGGGCTGCTGTTGAGGGAAAGGTTAAAGGCGCGTCATTCCGCAACTACAAGGAGATGTTCCAGAAGATGGAGGAGACCTTTGAGTTCTGTGCCAGCTGCAACAAACTCCCGGCTCATCTCACCGAGGGCCAGACCCTGAAACGCTGTGCGAAGTGAGTGCCATTCACTAGCATTATCACTGCTTAACTTTAATCATTGTTGACAATCAGAATATTCAAGGTGACTGAAACCTACACTGTCCTCTGGTCAGCTCCATCACCAACTCAGGGCATTGTTTTCATGTTCTCCGATAGTTGTCATGTGCGAAGCATTACCGGCTGCCTTTGTATCGGCGACAGAATGATAGGCCACCAAGGTGTGGGAAGCTCGACAGGGGGTGGATGTTGGCCAATGGCAAATATAGCTAAGCCCCGTGATTGTGTCTCATCTGCAGCTCTGCAGCTTATTAAGAGCAGCTTAATACAGTTCATAATGTCACAACAGCACCGAGTGTATTTCAAGGAGCGTGTTGAGGATAAGGAGAGGAAGCTGCCTCATTGTTCTCGTGCCTCATTTTTCTTCTGGCTCTCTGCATCTCTGTGCTCTTTTTTCTGTCTCTCTCTCTCTGATTCACACACACTCACACACACACACTGTCTTGCATGTGTGCTTGCTGGAAATACTCAGCTGCCACTGCCTCTCTCAGAAAAGTTACCAGTAGCAGCAGAAAAAAACAACCTGACAATCTGACTAACTGTCCAGAACCTGACCGTGACTTTCCACTTCTACCCTCATGTAGGCTATCTACTTTTAAAGCTAAGGTATCTCTGTAGAAGTGTTTTATACATTACCTTTCAAGGACACTTGTGTTTTCTCACCTCACTTTGTCCACTCCTGAGCCCCCTTTGGAGGATTAGTACGCCCAAAGTACGCTATGACAGAACACACAGGCTGATAAATGATTTTATGTAAATGCGTGCGCCTTGAAGGCTGCAAATGATTGCAAGGTAAAGTAATATAGTCTCCCAAAGCACCAACTGGCGCTGGCTGTCAGACCTTTAATCCAACACATTACCTCGCCACTTAAACTGTGCGACAACACAAAAGCCCACATCCGCACAAAGAGGTCGTTTCATCAGTAATAAATTCCGGCCTTTACCTACGGCAGCTGTTTTTGCCAACTGTCTTCTTAAAAGGGACAGAATTCATCTTAGGTGTCATGAGTCTGCAACTGAATGAGACGACATGGGATCTGCATGGATGTAAGATGCTATTTATGTCCTGGCACAGATGAGACATTCTAGGTGATCATCCAATAAAAAAGGAGGCTATCATGATATATGTAAGTGATGCACCCATATTTGTTATGGTTCACAGCTGATGAGGTAATTGATAGCAGCGCTTTATTTGGCATAAATTCTTGAAGCGGTAAGTGTTTTTTAAACACAATCCATCACTGATGCACATCCTTAATATCCTTTCACTGATGTGCAGGTTATATTTTAACAGTTCCTCCAGATGATATCTATCAGACAGTTTCCTGCTCAATTTATCTTTAAACAAAACTGTCTACAGTGCTAGCAGCTCTGTGAGGCTGTACTTAGCAGGGGTTTGAGCTCATGCTAACGTTAGCATGTTAGCATTAGCTCACAGTGACAATGCTAGCAGGTTGATGATGTTTACTGTGTATGTTTTAGTTTAGCACATTAGCATGCTAGCATCTGCTTATTAGCACTAAACACTAGCTACAGCTGAGGCTAATGGCAAAAATACATGGGACACGACACGTCACGTAGGCGGAGTTGAGCAAGGTTCTTTACCTGCTCCATAGACTCTTGCTGTGTCTCAAATTGCATACTTCTGTACACTTAATATTTTGAGTGCATAAGTGCGTTCACACTGAGAAGTATGGAAAAATGCAGTGCACGATGAGTACCCGGATGGTGCGCTCAAAACGGTCAAGAAGTTGAGTGTGGAACTATGGACACTCCTCGCCCTCAATGGTCGCCATCTTGGCTACGTAGCAGAAGGGGAGGGACCACTTTTCAAACTGGAAATGGCGGCTGCATTGTACAAATACATGTGTTTTTTGCACTAAGCACCACTATACTGTTGTCGGGTATAAGCCAGCAGTATGTTTATTGGGTTAATTTAGTAGTCTGTAATGATTTGGTGCTGCGAACGATAACGTGAATGCTAATGCTAGTTTGCGAACAAGCTAACACTAGGGTCGTCATTTCCGGTAAGTGCACAACGGCTGTGTTTGGTTTGAGACAACACTATCCTGACGAAATTTGCGCACTACGCCAATAAGTACATAGTGCACATAGTATACTACATGGAATTGTACTAACAGAAGTATGTGATTTGAGACACAGCATATTCTGTCTTTGTAGTGTGTGGTTGCTAACAGCTTCACTGTGTGTATTGACTTGATACTACAGTTGGTTATGGAGGGTTTGGAAACATATGCTATATTAACTAATAGTGAATTAATTTGCTGTATTGTTTTAACATTAGGATAGATTGATTTAACTGATTTATTTTAATGTGAAATGTAAAAGCACACACAAGGTTGCTCTGCTGCTTCTCACTGCCTCTGGTACAATAAGGCATTCATTTCTAAACAGATTGTACTTGTTTTACAGTTCTATGTCGTTTTTAAACTGTTGAGGGCTGCAGAGCCATGCACAGAACGGGAAAAATAGACCAGCTACAGTTCATAAAAGAGTTGAACAGTGTTGTGGCCGTGCGGGTAAGTATGGCTTCTGTGTTCAGTGTAGCACCTTCAGTTAATTATAAAGGTTGTGGTCTACTGCGTGCATGCTGGAGCTGACGTGTCACACCCTGTCTATGTCCCATGTATTTTGGCTGTAATAGGAATGTTTTAGAATTCCAAGTATTACGCAGGCCCCTAGGAAAGCTACCCAGCCTTGCTTCCAATTTTCCCTAGTGGCCACTTTTGGTATTGCAGCAAAAAAAAATTCCCTGCGGCTGAAAAAATATTTTTCTCATAGATCATTGTGAGTGAAATTGTAAAAGAGACATCTGTAAAACAGTTGACAGGACACCTAGAACTGCAGATCATTATGACTTTCTGTTATGAATTTTTGATCCATGTAGGTTTTATATCTGTAAAACGTTTCCCGAGCTGAGGAACGTGATTTAAAAATCTGTGATGTCATCACAATTTAAAGTCTTTGAGCCAAGCAGGAACTCGTGTGTGGAGGCAGCAGGAAAAATACCACTGTGCATATTCAATAATGTGCATACCCTGGAGGAAAACCAGGAAGCTAGAAACCTTTGTGGTGTATGGGCAAGGTGAGCAATCCCATTGGACTATCTTCCATCTATGGAAGTTGGACATGAACCAAATTATAGAGAGGACGTGAAGGATCTCGGTCCAAGAATGAGATTGTTTACAATGTCCGTGTATGTGAGTTGAGGTAGTGCATCAGGGTCTGTAATCCAGCCTTGTACTGCCAAGCCATATGGATCTACTTTGTTTATTGTGATTAATTTGTCTGAATACCGTTGCTTGACCATTGTAGCAGGCACAGGTAACAGAGCGTGGTCCTCGGAAGATGGCCCCCCCCATCCAAAATACCAAACATAGCATGACGTCAATTGTACATTCTCCACTGGGCAAACTGAAATTTTAACCTGACAATTGTGCTAGATGAAAAGTCAGAGGATTGCCAAAGTCATCCAATTTTATCCTCTTGGGGCCTTGAATATCTGTAGCAAATGTCATGGCAATCCTTTGCAATAGTTTCAGCCTGGACCATGATGAGTCATCTTACTGACTAACAGACACGCTGAGATTCCCATCTCTGGAGTCGTGCTACTGGCATGGCTAAAAATTGAAGTGCAGAACAGTGAAGTGGATGGTGTACAACTCTGTCAATTAAAGTTTTCCTTTTTGTTTAACTTCTATGCTTTGCATCATTTCTTTCTGTTGAATTTCACCGTGTTGCTTTTTTCTCCCATATTTCACCCACAGGTGCTTGAATGTGTATTACTGCACCAAGGACTGTCAGAAAAAAGACTGGCCTCAGCATAAAAAGGTCTGCAAGAAGCTGCGCCTGGTGGCCATTGACAGACTAGTGGAGTGGCTGATGTTCACTGGTGAGAAAAGAAAAGGTGGCGCAATTGAAATTGAAACGCCTTAATGGCTTGTTTGAGTTCATGAAACACAAAAATCATTCATCATCATTAATGAGAAGGCATATTTTAAAGATGAACTGCAGAAATGTAATGCCTGAGAGACAAAAACTGACAGAAAGTCACAGTGCAGTACTGGTGCTTTTTTGAAATTTTAATTAAAGTTTCTCAGCCTTTGAATTTCACGGATTGCTTTTCAAACACCATGTAAACTTGCCAGACAGAATCGACAATAATCTCTGTCCTCAGCTGTGTGTCCCTTAAATGCATCATGAATGTTCTGCCACCCACGTAGGAGACCTCCCATTCCCCACCGAGAAGTGGTCCAAGACAGCTGCTGAGGTGAAGAACTGGGATGACTGGCTCGCCACGCAGGGGGACCTCACGCCACGTCTTGATGCCATCTTGTCTGGTGCCAAAATGACAACCCTTTGGAAGAACGTCAGCAGGCCGAGGCCAGATGACTCTGACTTGCGACAGTCTTTATGGCGGATTCAGAGCGAGTTCCTCTCTCGAGTCCTCACAGTTGGAATGGCCATCCAGCACTTCTGCCTTAACCCCCATGCTAAACCACTCACTATCCACATAGCAGGGGCTTCCCACAATGAGACCATGGGAGCCAGACTGACAGACTATGATGAGCTTAACAAGATGTTCCCTGGACACCAGGGCATAGAGGTAGTCATGGTGGGACCAGAGGTGGTGGACGGCCCCGTCATGAGGCCTCCTCTCAAGGCGTTTGGCCCCAGGCAGAGGGTCTTCATCAGCGCCCACAAGGGCCTGTATCATGACTTCTGGGAGAACGTGTTGGAGAAAGACGAAGCAGCCAAGCCAGATTTGGTGGTTGGATTTCATCCTGGTATGTACATCCAACATTCTGCCAAACATGGACAAACAGAAAGTAACAGATGTGATTGTTTAGCCAATAAAATCTTAAGCTGAAAGGAGACTTTCACCTTAAAATGCTTTTAAATCAAACAGTAAGGGACATAATGATGGCTGCAGCTATAAATAGAAACTGCTTAGCTTAAGTGGTCAGCTGTCTTGGAGAAGCGGTGACTTTTACCCCTTTATGCTCATTTGACAATTACCTCTTTCAGAGAACAGAGCAAGCAGGGGACGTGTAACTCACTAGATCTGGCCTATTCATTAGCGCCAGGCTTTTATTGGGGATTTGGGTGATTAATGGGAGCAGCTGGAAAAGACTTTGGCTCCTCATTGCTGAACTCAGCATAATGTCGATCAGCTGCCCTTTTGAATGCGCCCCCGCCCTCTCAGATCCCCTCTAACATTGCAAGCCCCAGCCATTCGTGTACAAAATCATAAACAATCTCACCACCTCGTCTGAATTCCAGTTTTCTGTATTACACTTACTACATTTGGAATTCAAGAGACATCTGCAACTTTTTCTCCACTTCACAGCATGTTGGACTGAAAGACATCTACCCTCCACTCTTTCACTGACAGCCACCTCATTAAAGTGGCACTAAAATCCTACACCTCCTAAGCTCTCGCACCAAATCTGCTTTCTGACCCTTTCACCTGCGAAGCGGCAGTAAAGCCCTGACCCGACTGCACCCAGAACCCCTGGCTCAGTTATCACCCCAAGGCTCCACCGGAGCTAAATATACAGGAATCAGTCATCCTGCGAGTAAACTTGCCCGAGTGCCTGGCTGCGTTTCATACCGCAAAGCTGGCAGAGCACTGCATTATGACACTGTTTAAGTGATAGGGGAGCAGGCAGCGTGACCAAAGGAATAAAAAAAAGGAAGGTGTGTGGGAAAGTTGCAAAGAGAACGAGAGAGGAAAAAGCTGCTGGAGAGCAGTAAAAAACAGACAGTGACCTTAGAGAAAAAGAGAGGGAGGGGATGTCAACTGTCTCACAGGAGACGGATGCTGGATAAGTAACGTCATCCATACAAAGATAGACCACTGAAAACAGGCACCTCCTGGTAGCTGTTTGTGTCCATAAAATAAACTGTTTTCATACCACTAAAACTTAATCTTAGTCTATACCATTAACAGCAACTTTATTCACCATATGGTCCAAATTCACACTGGAGCCAGGCAATTATTACAGTCATTAACAGTCAGACTGTACCTTCTCTTTGTCACCTTAACTCCTTAAGGTCTAAACGCCTAAACGCTCACTCCCTGTTAAATGTTTTATCATGATGAGCAGTGTAACCTCAGGGATGTTGGTATCATGGCATGCATTATTCAAATCACAATCCTCTCCTTCTGCAGTTTGAGTTCCCCGGAAAGATGTGGCAGGAGGTGGATAACATGATACCATCTGTATGCCAGCATCACGGGCCTTACAATTCTCTGCCTCTGTGGCATGCTCTGGAACCCCCAAACTCACTTACAACCAGTACACACACACACCAGTAATGTACCGAGCAGCTGACGCATTAATAAATTCATAACCTGCATTGTTTTCCCGACATGCTGATTGAAATTGAATCTGCGATTTTGTCGTTCTCTCGGACAAACTAATAATGTGAGACTGTGTTGATCAAAGCAGGGAAACTCTGTGTTTGCTGCCTGGTTTTGTCTCACTCAAGGACACTAAAGCCGGATGGATTTACTGTATTTGCTGCCACGGTGGCTTGAACCTCAGTCATCTGGTTGAAGGGTGACACACACCAACCTACCCTGCTGCTCAGGAGAAAAAAAAGTACTGATATAAACCCAGGGCAAAGTGACATCTGTCAGTTAATATGCTGAAGGATTATGAAACCCAACCCAGCATGAATATCGCCAGACTGCTTCACTGGATTGTCTCTGTGTGAGAATGCCCTAAATTTTCAGCTGGCGTGAGTGTAAGGTTAAGTTGGAACAAGCTTTCTCCAGTTCAGCCGAAGTTTTTTAAATGAGGTCAGCTTGTTTGGAGCAAGATTAACTTTGTCATATTGACTGATAATTAGGCTGACTGCAAAACACTGTCAGTAGCACGTCCAGAAGGAAATACACTCTTGCTAAGAAGAGAGAAGACAGGGCCGGCTGGAGACTAATCAAGCGTAACATGTTCGATCTTCAGCTCACTGGGGTAAAAAAAAAAACCCTATAACTCTGCAAAGAAGACTTGCATAGTGAAAAACAATGTTTTTAATGTCAGTGTCATTCAGCTGACTTATTCAGGGATGTATGTGGACTAGAGTATGTTACAAGAGTGGCTTATACTTAATTAAAGGCCCTGGAATCAGTGTCTTACTATGATTGATAGTATCCTATATGAGCACACTATTTTCTGCCAAGTGTCTTTATTACTGTTACTGTTAATATTATGCTCTTGTCTGAGCTGAAGTGGGCGGGCCCTTGGAAGAAGAAGGTGATGTCACATACTTTCATGCACCAGTTGGGATTTACCAACATTTGAATTACATTCAAAAATTAAACTAAGCAAAACCAACCCAATAAATGTTGACATTGTAGGATTCTGATAACCACAGATATGTTACATTTGTACATTATTTTGTAGCCAATATGTTGAAACTTTCCATTTTTTTATTTTTCAGTAATGCTGTGGTTAAAGCTGCAGTAAGTAACTTTTATAAAAATAACTTTCATATTACTGTAACTGTACATGAGACAGATAATCTGTGAAAAAAAGGTTGCCCCAAATGGCAATTGCAAGAATCCAATGGGCCTGAACAAAACAAACCAATCAAAGGCAGGAGGAGTCTCTTATGAAATGTCAATTACTGTCCCCTGCACATTCTCTCGTGCTAATAAGAGCGATACGATATATGATATGATACGATACGATACGATACAATATATGATATTGTACAGTACGCTACGCTACAATATGTGATATGGTACGATACGATACGATACGATACGATAAGATACAATGCAATACAGTATACCTTATCGTCCCTGTAGAGAACTTTGTCTTGGACTTAAGAGCTGCACAAATAATGCTGCCTTACAATAATAGCCCAGAAGAAATTAATCATACACCATAAGAAAACCATAAAAACACATACTACACATAACAGTATTGCACATGAGCCATTCATGTATTGCACATAACTCCAGCACACAACACAGCACCAAAAGCAAAGCACAACATCTTCAGAACGCAGCTTCAGTTTCGGCTTCGGTTTTGAATCCTTTCAGGTCCAAGCTCTTGTTTTATCTTGGGCTTGGTTTAACTCTTTCTTTTTGGCTTGCTTTTTGCTGTTGGTCTTCCTCTATTTACTAGTTTTTGGGTTGGATGCTGTTATTGGCAGCATGTGCACAAGCAGTGATTGACACTATATTTCATTCAGGTGGGGTGGATTCTTGCAAATCCCATTAGGAGTACTGGGAGGAGCCAAAGGAACCTTATTTTTTCACAGGTTATCTGTCTCATGAATTATTTTCAGGATACAGTGACAGTTTCAGTAAATGTGACAAAAAAATATTTTATTTCATAAAAGTTATTGACTGTAGCATTAACGTGTGGTTATGTTACAACAACCACTTGCTGATAGCTCGGAAATGATCATGTTTTGGCTTAAAACACCCGTCTTTGGTGGCATGACAATGGCTGGAAATGATGCCTATGTCTCATTTTAAAACAACAAGTTTTGTTTTTTCTTAGTCTTGAACAGTGATCACCAGTGATCTGCATCTTGGCAGTTGTCTTGCCGAGATGTCACACCATCCAACACCTACCCATGACAAAGTCAGCTCATATACATGTAATGTTTCCTGGCAAAACTGCTTTTTGTTATTTTAATCATTATATTAACATGCTGGTTTTGCATCTTCCCGAATGCAACTGGAACTGGTGGTCTCTCTTTGTCTCTCTGGTCCTGTCTGTATCTCTTATATGTTTCTGTGTGCTTTTTACACAGGGTTCCACGCTAACCAGGGTCTGGTGGAAGGCTGGCTGCCCACCCTCCTGCTACTCAGAGATTATAACATCCCCTCCTTCTTCACTATGTACAGGTTAGTCACACTACTGTGACTCTAAACACAGTTGTTTCACATTTTATAGTGCTGATAATATCATCCATTACCCTTTGCACAATATAATAAATAAGCTCAAACCATTTGCTATCTAAAACTGTTGAACTATTCCGCCCTGCCCTCTTCTATGGTACACTTGTTCTTCACCCGCATATCATGTGTGGTCTCCTTACTCTTCACCTACCTGACCTCATCATCACAGTCCTCAGTCTCAATGCAGTTATTGTTGCCCACAGCCCAGATCACACCGCTCCTTCCACACTTCACACTCCTCCCCTCTGGTGGCAAATACCAGTTTCCTGTTTGTATAAAGGCCAAGTTGAAGAAAAGATTTATTTCTAGTGCTGCAGGCACTCTCAGCAAACTCCCCCTGTAGACTGTAACTTGATGATATAGCAAAGTTATTGATGTTGTTCTCCCTCTCTTCTGTTGTTGCTTCTCCTCTGTAATTTCTCTCAAACTGTTTTCTTGTAGGGTGGATGTTAAAATAAGTCTGTGAGGTGTTTAATCTCTGCACAGTCTCTCACGAGGACAACAAAACTTACTTGATGAATTGATTCCTCGGCTATTTTCTTTTGTCTTAACAGCGAGATGGAGCTCAAGTGCTCACTTCAGATCCTCTCGGAGTTGGAGGTGCACATCGGGGACAGTGGAGCCAATCCGTTCACCTCACAGAAACCAGAGCAGGTCCAGTCCTGCCCCAACAAAAGCCCTGTCTACTGCAACTCTCATTACATCTGTTTCCAGGGACTGCAGCCTCAAGTAGACTTAGAGGACTTTGGGTCAGACAATTAAGAGGCAATTATAAGGGAAAATCAAAGCCTGTCTGAGGTGCCACAAGCCCTCGCCTTTAAAGATGCGATTTTAAAAACAGGATTTGGGGATTTCCTGGGGTCTTGTGGGGGCTTCCTGCAGCCTTTTATAGCTGGACATTGCTCAGCTGTGCCGCCACTTGGCAGATGTGGATGCTGAATATGGGGCAGAAAACCGCACCTTCACCACCGCAAACATGCACCAAACATCACTCAAAGCTCATTATGGAGGAGGATGGCACCTGAGGGCACCAGTGGGGCACAGGGGTTTGGACTCTGTTGGTGCCCCGAGGTGGCATGTTACTTGGATATGAAGGGTCATGGGTGTACATATGTAATGAGACCAGAATGAGTTCAGACATTATTTGACGGTTCTCTGTAATTTGTTCTGTGGCTAGACGTATTCCCAAATCTCACAGTAACACATGATCTAAACTGACACCTAAATAAATTATACAGAGGCACAGAGCCTCAATGTGGTTTATTATATTTATTCCTTCTTTTTTCTTGCTGGGCTAGTGGGTCTGTGGAGTATGTGATCACCACAGACGATGTAATAGTTCTTATGTGCTGAGAGGAGACTCCATAGGCAATCATCCCTTTCCACTATCTCTTAAAAAGGCGAAAAGCCAAGCAGCATTCGTTTGTCAGCTGTTTTCAGGTCAGGGTTGAGAACGACAATGCAATACAATGCAATTCAAAAAATAGCATGAGACACAGGCTTAAAAATTACCGTCAGATAAGTCATTGTCTGATTATCTCTACAAAACTGAACATTATATGCTTCACCTATTGCAGATCACAGGATTTTGCCTCCATAGCAGCTTTAAAAATGCAATTTCATGACTACAAAACTACCCTTAGACCCACTTTCTGTCAATATTTTAAATAATGGTTCACTTGCCCTATTTCCTTCTTAATACTTCACATTGATTTCCCTAAAATTTACCAGTAATCAGGCAGTAAGGCACATTAGAACAATTTTCATAGTACAATCTGGTTTAGAATCTGTAACGATGAAAAAGAATACTCTGCTGCTTGTATGATTAATGTGTGAAAATAACTAATATTCAACCATGACACTGATACCAATGTGTTAAACATACCATTACACTTGTCTGCATGTGTAACTGATTTGCTTCATGAAGAGGGAAATGTCTTTACAGTGTGACACTGCCTTCTAGTGGAATAAAGTGGTAAAAGCACACTGAAAGTACAGTTGATGCTGTAATAGTGGAGCTCAGGGCTTTTTAAGTGGCCACATGGGCAAAGGGTTATGGAATGCCATTTAAGTCAATATTAAATAAATGAATGAATTAATTAATTTGGCTATGAAATAAATTCTGAAATGAAAGGGGCAATAAATATAGGAGACTGGGGTTGGTTGGCACACTTTTCATTCTCTGCTGTATTTCTCTGGCATATTTTATGTTAGAGTATTCTAACCAGCAGCAAATGAAAGGTTCAGGTCTTAGCTATTAAAAAAGTGTACTTTAATGTGCACAAATGCTGTCTAAAATTCAGTGATACAAGATTAAAGTCATGCTGTACATTTGTGCCAACCAGCCCCATCAGAGTGTTGGTTGGCACAGTGTTAAAATGCTACAGTTACAAAAACATGAAGCACACAGTAGAAACAATTTGAAAATTTAATTCAAACAAGAACCAGAAAACATGAATATTTTATAGAATATCTGCCCAATTTTAAAACCAACAGCATTTTAAAGCAATTTATGAGCATTAATCTCAGCCTTAGAGACAGGGTGAGGAGCACAGATACATAGCCGAGCCACTGCTCCTTTGCGTTGAAAGAGGTCAGTTAAGGTGGTTTAAGCATCTGATCAGGATGCCTCCTGGGCGCCTCCTGTTAGAGGTGTTCAGGGCACGTCCCACTGGTACGAGGCTGAGGGGTAGACCCAGAACACGCTGGAGGGACTACATATCTCATCTGGCCAGGGAACACCTTAGGGCCCCCCAGGAGGAGCTGGAAAGTGTTGCTGGGGAGAGGGATATGAATGTCTAATTACCTTGCCATTGATCATTATAAAATAGTAATTATAAAAAACAACATAATCAGCATTTAAATCTGTTAAAATAGTTTTAATTTCTCAAAATGCAGCTAGACCTACAGTTACAACTGAATTTTACAATTGGGTGACACATGTGCCAACCAATCCCACTCATATTTGACCCAATATTGTGATGAAATTATGTCAGGTGGCTACCATCACTCATCATAGACTTTCAAATCTTATATCAAAATGTAGGTGATTCATTTGTCAATTAACTAGAAATAACACATTTCCAATATCTCGATCTAACACAATTTTAGAAGACATTTAATCCACAGACCACTTTTTTACTTATACTGCTATAAAACTGAAATGTCACCCTCGCCAAAGAAATTAATGACATTCAGATATTTTAACATAGTAGATGGGTGTGGGTCAAGAAAGCAAACATTTTAATTTTACTTTTTTTTTATTTCGGTGACCTTCAAAGCAGTAAAGCAAACAAACAAACAAACAAACAAAAAAGCTGTGTGCCAACCAACCCTGGTCTCCCCTAAATTCATGGATAAATGTCAGTATAAGTGTAAAAATAAGTCAATATAATTCAATCAATAGTTTTTGAATCAAAAAGGATGTTTTTAAAAAATACTATTTGTATATTAGTTCAGGGAAATTCTATTTCTTAATACCACATTTATTTCCCAGCTCTATTTCCATATGTTGTATTCAAATGAAAGAGGTGTGGTTATCCCACAGATTCAGACTAAATATTTATTTATTAATTTTGACTTAAATGGCATCCCGTAATAGCCTGTTGAGTTAACATTATGTAAATGATAAGTATTTCTGGCTTTAAATGTATACCACAGTAATGGATAGATGTATGGTGTTTTCTTGCCATAAAATCTATGCACAAATATGAATTTCTAAAAAAAAATATGAGCTGTATTTTGTAGTTCTTGTTTAGTCAGGAAGAGTCTGGAGTTGTCAGACTTTTCTAGAAGGCACAGCACAGGTGCTAAATGTGGCACCCAGCTGCAGGCCCCCCCCAGCAGGCCGCTCAGATAACAACACAGTAGGAGCAGCAGAAGAAGAAACTGTGAACAGCGCGTGAGTGCCAGACTCATTCAGAAATGACGGAAACAGAGAAGTAAGTGGGTTTTGGCTGAATTACTGACACTTCTTTATCTTCATTACAGACAACATGTATAAATTCACACCATAAAAGGACGCCATAAAAGTCAGAGGTGTGTGTGTGAAGCCGCGCGCGCAGCAGCAGAGCCTCCTGGTGCTCGTTAATAATGACTGCTCGACATTTGAATGACATTTGGAGATACTAGCATGAAGCCACAGCCTGGTTCATTTAGCTTTCTCTCCGAGTTGTCACTATTAAGCTTCAGGCAACTTTTCAGCAACATTTTTCACATGTAAACTTATATGAATCTCTCCATGCAGTCAGTCCTCTCCTCCCCTCATATAGCAAATGTCCAGGCTAATAATAGAAACATATGGGCCTCAGTACTCTAATGGTTAGCTATGGGCTAGTCATGTGTTAGCATATTAGCTTTTGGTGTTTATAACTTAACATTTGCCCAAATTACTAATGAGTGACTTGCAGAGGTGGGACCAAGTCAAGTCCCAAGTCAATTTAGGCAAGTCCTGATTCAAGTCCCAAGTCCTAAACTTTTACTTTCGAGTCCTAAACAAGTCAAAATGTGCTCTGCATCAAATGTAATGCCATTTAACAACAGAGTAATAATATATTAATGTATTTATTTGTTGAAACAAGTCTGTTGGAAGTTGTTGTGTCTCTGTCTGTAATGTCTGATCTGCACATTTTGCATACTGCAATTTGTTTTGTTGACCACCATGTAGTTTTTGTACATGAACGAAATCATCTTTGGTTTCAGTTTTCCCAACTGGAACTCAGTAATGTAAAGCCAGTTCTACATGGTTCGCTCATGCAACTTGATTGGATGCTTCAAACATAATGGACCTGGTGATGTCACGGTCGACTTGTTGGGGACTTTTTAAATAACATTCTTTTAATCTTTGGACTTGGGAGAAGGTATCAAGTATTTTCAAGTCAAAAGCCTCAAATCCAAGTCCCGAGTCCTTTTTGTTTAAGTCCAAGTTGAGTTGCAAGTTGTTCAAGTCAAGTCTAAAGTCATCAAGGTTGTAATTAGAAATAAGCTTGAATCCATGTCATGTGACTCATGTCCACATCTGTGGTTACTGGTTAATAACTGTATTGTATTCTTTTTTGTGTCTCCAGAGCTGGTGTGCAGACCAAGGCTAAAGCCATGGCTTTCCGCTCTCAAAAAGAGATGTTTGAGAAAATGGAGGAATCGTTTAAAATCTGTGCCTGTTGCCAGAAGCAGCCAAATCAACTATCAAACCCGCATAACCTCAAGCGTTGTGCCAGGTAACAAAAAGAAATAAGGGGGAAGAGCCCCCCAATATCTCCCTCAGCAGGCCTGAGCAGCCAAGATCATCAACGTGAGTCATTTTCCAATCACAGATCTCTCACTGTTCTCCTGTCTTTGCACAGATGTCTAAATGTTTACTACTGCGGTAAAGACTGTCAGAAGGAGGACTGGCCCAAACACAAGAAGTTCTGCTCACAGCTGCGTGTGGCCGCCATTGACAGAGTTGTGGAATGGCTTTTATTCAAAGGTAAAATATACAGTGGCAGATTATCCAACAGGGAGTGCACAGACATGCAAAAGGCTGCCCCATCTCTCTTACAGAGGAGACATCCAATTTTTTTGTTATTTAGCCTTTTTGTGTTGTTGTTTTGCATCTCTTTGTAGTCGTAACACATTCTTTTGTTGTGTCTCTTCTTGTATTAAACAGCTAAACTAATCTTATTCTTTTTCCCTGTCATCAGGAGACCTCCCATTCCCCACAGAAAAATGGTCAAAGCCCCAGTCAGAGGTCAAAGGCTGGGACGACTGGCTTGCGATGCAGGGAGATCTCACGCCCCGCCTGGATCCCATTTTAAAAGGAAAGAACATGAAAGACTTGTGGACCAACGCTGGCAGGCCTCAGCCTGACGACGAGGACTTGAAGCAGTCCCTGTGGAGGGTTTGCAGCGAGTTCTTCTCCCGGCCGCTGACTATAGCCTGGGGGATGAGGCTGTTCGGCATTAACCCTTACTCCAAACCTCTCACCATTCACCTGGTGGGAGCAGGCCACAGTGAGACTCTGGCAGCCAGACTGACGGACTATGATGAGCTTAACAAGATGTTCCCCGGACATCAGGGCCTAGAGTTAGTCATGGTGGGACCAGAGGTGCTGAACGGCCCCATCGTGAGGCCTCCTCTCAGGGCGTTTGGCCCCAAGCAGAGGGTCTTCATCAGTGCCTATAAAGGCCTCTACCACGAGTTCTGGGAGGAGCTGGTGGAGAAAGAGGAAGCAGCCAAGCCAGATTTGGTGGTTGGATTTCATCC